CTTATGGTCCCTTTACATTTTTTCTTTTCTGTGGTTACTCCATGCTGTGTATTCACATCTGAGGATTTTAAAGGGACGTATCTTAGTTACTTTTCTATTGCTGTGACATATAAGGCAACTTATAAAAGAAAGCATTTAATTTTGGGCTCATAGTTCCAGAGAATTAAAGTCCATGGTCCTCATGGTGGGGACTATGGCAGCAGGCAGGCAGGCATGGTGCTGGAGCAGTAGCTGAGAGCTCACCTGTTAATCTGCAAGCAGCAGGCAAGCAAGGGAACTGGGAATATCACCAGTCTTTTGAAACCACTCCCAGTGACACACCTTTTAATCCTTTCCAAAGAATTCTAACTGGGGACCAAGTACTCAAATATATAACCCTGTGGGACCCATTCTCATTCAAACAACCACAGAACAACAGATGAGAGGGAACATGTGGTGTTTGTTTATTTGTGTCTGGATTACCTCACTCAGTGTAATCTTTTCCAGGTCTACACATTTACCTGCAAATTTCAAGATTTTATTTTTAATTATAGTATTTCATTATATATATGTATCACATTTTATACCTATTCATCTATTGAAGAACACTTAGGTTGTCTTAATTTCCTGGATATTGTGAACAGAGCAGCTACGAACATTGCTGAACAAGTATCTGTGAAGTATGATGTTGAGTCCTTTGGGCATATGCCAGGAATGGTATAGTTTTATTTGGTCATATGGTAGATTTATTTTTAGCTTTTTTGAGGATTCTCTATACTGATTTCCACTGTGGCTGCACCAATTTGCAGTCTCACTAACAGTGAACGAGGGTTCTCCAGTCTCCACAACAAACGTCGGCATTTGTTGTCAGCTGCTGATTTTGGCTATTCTGGGATGATGTGGTGGTTTGAAGAGGTATGGCCCCATAGACTCATGTGTTGGAATGCTTAGCACACAGGGAGTGGTACTATTAGGAGGTGTGGCCTTGTTGGAGTAGGTGTGGCCTTGTTGGAGGAAGTGTGTCACTATGGGGGCAAACTTGGAGGTCTCAGATGCTTAAGCCCAGACTCAGTGACACACAGTTCTTTTCCTGTTACCTGCAGATCAGGATGTAGAACTTTCAGCTCCTTCTGCACCATGTCTGCCTGCATGCTGCCATGCTTCCACCATGATGATAATGGACTAAATCTCTGAAACTGTAAACTTGAGACACAGTGGGGAAAACTACTCTCAGGGTGAAACCAAGGAAGCCCCTCTAACAGTGCAAAGATTGATCCCAAGCCCAAACACCACCAGTTAACAAGGATATTGCAGTCATCAAGAGGAGGGACCTTACCACCAAACTGAGAAACACAAATGTAAGAAAAGAGAACATGTTTAGGGGGAAACTGCCATCTGGTGCTCCAGCTGGTGCTACCATTGATAACTAAATATCCTCAGCTTTCATATATTTGGAGGAAAATGGAAACATTTGACTACAGATGACTGGCTTAATTTTCCACAGAAAACTGAAGTCCTTGAAAGAAGGTACATCTGTCTTCAAGATGCTGAAGGCTACTTGACCTGTCTAGTTTTAGCCCACAATTATCTATAAGACAAATAAATTAGTCCACATTTTTGAATTTGCTAAGACTTGCTTTGTGGCCTAAAATGTAAATTATTTTAAACAAAGTTCCTTAGGCTGTTGAGAATTATGTGTTTCCGCAGCTGCTGGAAGGAATACTCTGTAGATATCTGTTAAGTCCAACTTGTTTATGGTTCCATTTGACTCTGAAGTTTCATTGCTTATTTCTTATGTCTGGATGATGATTTATTAGAGTAGGCTATTGAATTTACCCACTGTTATTGTATTGGGATCCATCCCTTTGTGTCCATTAGTGTTGGTTTTATGAAATCGAGTGCTTGCGTTACTTTTCTCATTGTTATGACTAAAACGATTTTTCAAAGGAAGATCTTATTTTGACTCCTGGTCTGAGAGTACATGGTGAGTCAAGGGGGTCATGTCCATGGGAATGTAAGGTCACATCACATCAACAGTCAGGAGGCAGAGAGAGAGATGGCCATGTTCAGAACACATTCTCCTTTTTTCCCGATTTGACTCAGTTCTCAAGACTCCAGTGAAGTAGAACAGGGTCTAGAATGAGAAGGCCTCATGCTAATCCTTAGAAAAAGTAGTGTATTAAAAAAAAGTTTGCAAAGACGACTGGAGCACACCTCCTATCACATGTGCAAGGTAGCCTGAGATAAGTAGATGAGCCAAAACCTTGTGCTGTGTGATATAAAATTTTGCCCCCATCCTTTGTACAGTGATCATATTAAAACCATACAGAGAAAAGCAGGACTAAGAACTTATTAGACACACCAGACCAAGGAAAGGATGTAACTCCTTCATTTGAGTCCCATAAAGAGATGGGCACCTAAGATGACTGGCAGTGGTTGGCGAATATTGTTTTAAGGTGTGTTACTTTTGCTTATGTTGCTTTTGTTTAACTCTGTGAAGCTGTGTTACTGTGCCTGTCTAGAACACCTGATGGTCTAATAAAGAGCTGAGTGGCCAATATCAAGGCAGAAGAAAGGATAGGCCTGGCAGGCAGAGAGAATATAGAGGAGAAATGTTGGAGGAGAAGGAAGAAGGAGCCAGAGGAGGAGGAGGACTCTAGGGGTCAGCCACCCAGCTACACAGTAAGCCACGGATTAAGAGTAAGATTTACGCCAGCTGGTGGTGGTGCATGCCTGTAATCCCAGCACTCGGGAGGCAGAGGCAGGTGGATCTCTGTGAGCTCAAGGCCAGCCTGGTCTACAGAACTAGTCCAGGACAGTCTTCAAAGCTACAGAGAAACCCTGTCTCGAAAAACAAACAAAAGAGTAAGATTTACAGAAGTAAGAGAATGGGGAAAGCCCAGAGCCAAAAGGTAGATGGGATAATTTTTTTTTTTTTTTGGTTTTTCAACACAGGGTTTCTCTGTGTAGCTTTGCGCCTTTCCTGGAACTCACTTGGTAGCCCAGGCTGGCCTCGAACTCACAGAGATCCACTTGGCTCTGCCTCCTGAGTGCTGGGATTAAAGGCGTGTGCCACCACCACCCGGCGGTCTTTTTTTTTTTCCAGAGCTGAGAACCGAACCCAGGGCCTTGTGCTTGCTAGGCAAAGGCTCTACCACTGAGCTAATTCCCCAACCCTAGATGGGATAATTTAAAGTTAAGAAAAGCTGACAAGAAACAAGCCAAGCTAAGGCCAGAAATTTATAATTAAGAATAAGCCTCCCTGTGTGATTTATTTGGGAGCTGGATGGCGGGCTCCCCAAAAGAACAAAAACAAACAACAGGCAGTGGTGGCGCACACCTTTAATCTCAGCACTTCAGAGGCAGAGGCAGGTGAATCTCTGAGTTTGAGGCCAGTTGGTCTAAAGAGTGAGTTCCAGCACAGCTAAGCCTATACAGGAAAACCGTGTCTCTAAAAATCAAAACAAACAAAAAAAGATGGAGAGATCCTTCACTGACCACCTAGGATGTGCATCAAGAGACTGACAGGCAGGTAATTCACAACTGTCTCAGGGCCTTCAGCTCAGCCTAATCTCTGTTGTTGGTGTGACATATTCAAACTGTCACTGCTCATCTACCTGTTTACTTGCCTAGACCTGCCATCTACCCATCTACTCATTTGTTCATCAGGACCTAGTTCTGCCCTTTTGTCTCTATAGCTGGTCTCAACTCTGAGCCTGAAGCCTGACTCTACAACAGCCTTGGTAGATTCTCTAGCACAGTGGTTCTCAACCTGTGGGTAATGACCTCTTTGGGGGGTCAAATGACCCTTTCACAGAGGTTGCCTAAGACCATCTGCATATTAGCTATTTACATTATGATTCACAACAGTAGCAAAATTATAGTTATGAAGTATTGGTGAAAATAATTTTATGGTTGGGGAACTGTATTAAAGGGTCTCTTAGCATTAGGAAGGTTGAGAACCACTGCTTTAGCAGAAGCAACAGCCCAAGTTGGTTCATTGTCAGTACAGATTTATTTCTACCAGTTTTCCTGCTTCTTAGGACTTCTCAAACCTCTTGAAGTCTGCTGTGACCCCTTAATTCACAAGAGTCATTCTATAACCTACATATATCATGCATATATAGAAATAATTGCTGTGTGATGTGTAATATGTGATCTGAGTGGTAAGAGTAGTAAATAAGATTGCAATTAAAGTATCCCTGCTCACCTCTGCCAGGATTATCATGAAAAGTTGATGTATCTGACAAATTACTGCCATTGAAACTATGGCTCCTTGTGAGTTTATTGTTAATACATTCTGCATTGTGCAAAGATGAACATGTACTTATATCTATTTCTGACTTAATGTGCCCAGGATTTTTGTTGGTGGATGTTTCTGTCCTACCAGCCAAATAACCACACAGAGACTTATTGTTAATTATAAATGTTTGGCTAATAGCTTAGGCTTGTTACTAACTAGCTCGTATAACTTAAATTAACCCATATTTCTTTTCTATGTATGATCATGTGGCTTGGTACTTTTTTTTTTTTTTTTTTTTTTTTTTTTTAGCACAGCAAGTTCATCTTTTTTTTTTTTTTCCTCTTCACATCTCCTGGCGACTTCTCCCTTTTCCTCCCAGTGTTCTCCCAGTCTGGCTCTCTAGCTTTACCGCTTCCTGCCTAGCTATTGGACAGTTAGCTCTTTATTAAACCAATGAGGGCAACACATCTTCACAGTGTACAAAAGGATTATTCCACAGCCTGTTTTTCTGAAACAGTCAGTTGAGCATATAGAATGGCAAAGAACACACTCTAAATAGGTTTTAAATAAATACAGGTTGGCCCTAGTCCTATACAAAATAAAGCAAAGTTCAAGTGGTACTGTAAGTGTGGACACATATATTTTTAGTAACCAATTCCTGCTTCTTTTCCTTTGATGTTTAGCCTGAAATAGAGACATGAGTTTTGAAATATTTAATTTGATTGTTTAATTTGTTAAAATTGTGTATGTGTGTCTTTCCAATTTTGGTCTCCATAGGTTGCAATTTAATCTTCAAGGAGGTAAAGAAGCACCACAGGGCCCTGCTGAGGATGCTAATATGCCACCATTGTCGGAGTCTTAGAGCGTGAGGACGCAGCGGATGCTGAAACACAAAAGAGTAAATGCTGAGATGACTAACTTACTTGTCTGTGCTTATGGACGTAGCGCAAGGCAATTACAGCACATACATCCCCATCTCCCAACTCTGCCCTTTTTACAGACACTGAAAATATCTGTAATCAAGGCTAGAAGAGAACAGTCAATCATGATATCAGAAGGGAGCAACGAGAACCAGACAGTATGGCTGCAGACAGCCCTGAGCAGTCAATCACCTCAGTTATGGGTGCACTTTACTCTGGGACCGCTCACCACTCTTCAGGTGGCCACTCACTAGTCTGGTGGGAACTGGAGCAGTAATTCCACAGCACTGTTCTATTTTTTAGCGTGAAAGGCTGTGTGAAGACAACCACTGGGTTGCATTTTGAATGGAAATGTCGGTCTTTTTGTTGTTTTTTTTCTTGTCAATTTGTGGTGCTCTTATTACTACCAAATGAGAGTCATCAGGAAGAGTGATGTACATTGTGCTTTATATATTAGCAAGTTCCCTGGTATATAAAGCATTCTAAATCCACCATTCTAAAACATTCAGATTAAAGAATTCTGCTTATCAATTCACCTTTTTGTTTATTTGTTCTTTTAGGCAAAAACTTACTCCTGAGCAATTCCCACACTCGAGTTGTTGCAGTTGATACTGGTGTTAGAAATAGAAATGTGATATTCAAGAATTTATCAGACAAACTAATTACCATTTACATGTCACACGAAGGGAGTAGAGAGTAAAATGGGAGCATGGACTTGTCATAAAATTTTGACCGAAATGTCACCACACCCAGGAAAGTCTTGTACACACACACACACACACACACACACACACACACACACACACACACACCATTTGCACAAATACTTACCAGTTTCCCTCTCGTAACAATTTGAATGCTTCATTGACTTTATCAAAAGGCAGCTTATGGGTTATAAGAGCATCTGTGTTGATTTTTTTTTGTAAGTAGTCAGTTACTAGTTTAGGGATGCCATCTCTGGTTTTATACCCTGTAGAAGGAAAAGACTAAAGTAATGGGATGTGAAAAATATCAGAGCTGACAGAAGGCTCCAGTGAACTGTCTATTTATAAAATTATCAAAGCCAGCCATTCATTGGTCCTTTTCCTAAGTGTCAAGCAAGCAGTTTGTTTCATAGCAGAATCAGTCACTGACAGAATGTGATTACCAGGCCTGTAGAAGAGCCCTATGCCTATGCTCTCATGGCTATACCCATAACCACATGCCTAAAGCTCTCCTTTGTCCTTCGGGCACTAACCATTTCCTGCAGCACCCACTGGCTCACTGACCTGGATTACCAGTCTCCTTTCATCTAAGGCAGGGTGTGTTAACGCACATAAAAACAGCTGGGAGTGAAGGTCATAGGAAGTGGTTAGTGTCCTGGAAAGTGGGCTGATGGGCTGTGATCACGATTGCATTGAGTCTATTACTTCTGTTCTTTTCTTTCACAGAGGAAGAGGAAAATACTATCACAGTCTCATTTGAGATCATACACTCAAGGACCTAAGGACTTTGCAGAAGGCCTCACCTCCAGAACTTCTCAGTAGCACCATTCTGGGCACCTCTGACCTACAGACCGGGGGGACCTTCAACATCCATACCACAGAAACAATACAATATCTGATGATTGCATAATTGGTTGGTATGCAGGATTTTCACTAACCTAAAACCCTGTTAGCGTAACACTGAATAAAGGGCCACCTTTGCAGCAGCTTCTCTCATCCATAACAAAATAATTCTTTTTAGGGGACTAGTTTTATTAGTTGGTAAGTATGAGACAACCAACTGTGAGTATCTGGTATACCTCTCCAGCGTGCTATCAAGCCTTTACACATGCACACACACTTGGTGTCATAAATAGATGAAGAGAAGCACAGGAAGAAGGCACACACGGTATATGGGAATAAGGTGCTTGCAAATTTCAACTTTGGGATTGGAGTAGCTGGTCAAAATAAAGGCAAAACATTGAGGTCTGGGGATCTGACAACCAGGCACAAGGCTGGTCAATCCAGGTACCTGGAGCTAAACACATTCAATTTTTCCAGCAGTTGTGTGGAATCCTATGGTCCTTCTAAAAGCATGGAAGAGCCTCTAAGGTGGCATAGTGCCTGGCAAGAAAGAAACCATAAAACTTGCAGTATGTCAGCCTCATAAGAAGAAGGTGGCAAAGTCTCTTGTCTAGGGACAGGAAGAGAGACTGGGACTAATGGCTCAGTGATGGGGGACCAATGACTCAGTGATGGGGGACCAATGACTCATCGATGGCTCAGCAGGCACACCCCCCTCAGCTTCTATCTTGCTGTATGGGGACTGTTCTTGCTGCAGACAGTGTAATCCTTTGTGTTGAACCAGAAGGCTGTGCTTGATAGCCCTTAGCAGCCGCAGACGTGGGTCATCACCTTATGGCAGAGGTCATCTTGGCCATACAAAGCCCATCTCTTCCTAGTTGATGTGGGTTTGTTTCTTTTTCCTGTTGCTCTGATAAAAATATCCTGACACTGGTTGGAGAGATGAATCAGTGGCCAAGAGCACTTGTTTCTCTTCCAGATGACCTGGGTCCAATTCCCAGCACCCACATGGTCATTCACAACCTTCTGTAACTTCTGCCCCAGGGGACCAATACCCTCTTCTAATCTTTGAGGGCACCAGGCACACAAGTGATGTATATACATACATGCAGGCAAAATATTCACACATAAGAGAAAAAAATATCTTGACAAAAGCAAAACAAGCTTCTTTTTCATGAACGTTAATGAAACACACACACACACACACACACACACACACACACACACACACACACACACACACACACATTTTGACGGCAACAGAAAATGGACAAAGATAGATAGTTAGCTATAAAGAAAAAGCTGAGTCATTTGTGTTTAGTCATTCTCTGCATTCAGTTACTTCTTAAACAGTTTAGTTTGGGGAGCTTTACACAAGTTGGATAATTCTTGAATTTCTGAAAGATGAGACTTCCGTAGTGGAAGGCTGGTTGATGGAAATGTTCTCCCTGTTATGTGATTAGGAGGGTAGTAGTCCAACTTCATATTCAACTTACACAAAAGCGTGTCAAGGAATAATCTAGAAGGCCCCAGACCTTCCAGCCCAAACAAGCATTCACTGCCACCGAAGCCCACACCTCATGTTTTCTTGGGTCGTGAGCGGCTGTTGTCAACATATCAACTGATCACTCATTTTTTGCTCATTTGTGTCACCTTCTTTGCGGAATTCTTGCCTTGCATGTTTTTCATTTAGTTTTCACTATTAGATAAGAAAAACTATTGCTCACCCTTGTTTTCAGCTGGTAGGACTGGGTTTAAGGAATTTGGATAACTTGCTTAAAGGTAATGCCCATTGAGAACTCTGACTGCAAGAGTCAAGTTTTCAGATCCATGCCTTAAATTAACCAATCAGTCATTAATCACCAATCACCAATAATCAGTCATTAATCTTGCTTAAGCGTTCTGGCTAAGGACAGGGCATAAGATAATATGAACTGTGCTGTCTAGTAACAAGCCGATGCTAGTCGTCATGTGTGGCTGCTTGCATTTATTTACTTATTTTTTTAGGCATGGTCTCATTATGTTGCCCTGCCTTGCCCTGGAACTCACTATGCAGATCAGGCTAGCCTTGAACTCACAAAAGTCCACTTCCCTCTGCCTTCCTAGCTCTTGGATTAAGTCATGTGCCACCACATTTGTTGTGGAATATTATTTTAGCTATGCAAAGATGTATTACATTTATTTTACCTTGCCTGCCTAAGGCACCTGATTGGTCTAATAAAGAGCTTGGCAGAGAAAGGATAGGTGGGTTGGTGGGCAGAGAGAATAAATAGGAGGAGAAATTTAGGCTCAAGAGAGGAACAGAGAAGAAGGAAGAGGAGAGAACGAGAGGAAGAGAGAGGCATGCTTGGATCCAGAAGCCAGGCAGCTGCCAGCCAGACACGAGAAGCAGAGAAAGTAAGATATACAGAAATAAAGGAAAAAAAAAAGGTAGAAGAGAAACATGTTAATTTAAGTTAAAAGAGCTAGCCAGAAAGAAGCCTAAGCAAGGCTGAGCATTCAAAGCTAACAGTAAGTCTCTGTGTCATGATTTGGGAGTTGGTTGGTGCCCCCCAAAAAGAAAGCCTGCTCCACACATCCACCACCGCTGTTTGGATTTAAGTAGAGTAAAATGAAACATAACTGACTTGTCAGTCTTCCAGTCCCACTAGCCATATTCTGAGTTTTCAAAAGTCACATATGACTAGAAGTCACTTCATTAGACAGTGTGGCCTCAGAACATTTAATACTGCACAGGTTCTGTGGAACAGGTTAGTTCTGGAAGCATACTGGGTATGACTGTGAGGTGATGGAATAGATTCTGAAGGTGTTTAGGGAAGAGATTGGAATGTGGGCTCACATTGTAATTGTGTGTTTAGTTTTAAAATAGAAACGTAGAGTGATTATTAAAGTGAGAACTCAGGACGGGGGCAAATCAGTGATATGCTCGTCTAGTCTTAACCTGTATGGGGGAGTGGTCCATATACTACCCATGGTTTGCCACCAAGTACAGAAAGTCTGGGTTCTAATGGGTACCTTATAGATCTTATCAGTGTTAAACTAGTGATTTGTTTGCTTCTACAGAGAACACACTACTTTTGGGAAGACAGTCTTGTGCTTTCATGGAAGTTGGAGAAGGGATAGTGTCTTGCTATGTATGCCTGACTGCCTGGAACTCACTTGAGTCCAGGCTGGCCTTGACCGACCTTGTGATACTCTTCCTGCATCTGCATCCCGAGGGCTGAGAATGCAGCCCACCTTTCCATTTCTCGATACACTGTCTTCTATTTCTTCCTATCTTCCCTCCCTCTTTCCCTCCAAGGAGCATTCAGGGGACTTAGGGTTCTGGAAAGAGAAAGGAAACAGAAAGGCCTACCTCCCATAACAGAAGATTTCAAGGTTCTCCCGGGGAGAAGCACCGCTGGGTCAAATGAGAGCTGTGACCCTGTGGGAGCTACTCCCATAATCACACATACCCCGTAGCTCACAACGCATGACTTCAAAGCTGCGACCTAAATGCAGAAACAGAAGGGTTAATGTCTCAATAGCTCTACATGTAACTTGTGAATGGCCTGGTAGAAATGAAGATCTTCTGGAGAGGCCCTGTGACTCTCAATCTGACCAGTAGACTATTGAAACATACAACCTCAAAGAAATGGGTATTTTTCCAATGAACCTCATGCTAGGAGAGAAAAAGGGCATCAGTCAGTGTGGGAACTTGTCTGCTGGAGAAAGATCTCACACAGTCCTCACAGTTTGCTAGCCTGCCTTTCAGGGTGAGACTGAAGCCCAGACAAGAACTGGCCGAGGGCAGGTTGGGAACAAACCTTGACCAGGGCTGCTCAGATACATGCATCTGTTTAAACTTTGCTCTCACTTCAGGACCTGGAGAAGATGGACTTGGGGGCTTCACTGGGCCCTTTGTGCCTCTTCCCAATGTGGCCACATTGATTAAATCTTTTTTTTTTTGCTTTCTGTTTTTAGTGTGGCTTTTTAAAATTGGCTTATGGGGGGGGGGCAGGCCTTACTTGTGGGGCGGGCTGTGTTCTCTAAATTCAATAGCAATGCTAATATGTACTTTCAGGGAGTATGTGGGAGATATACTATGATCAAACAGCACAGAGTATGTTTAACTCTGTCATCTAGAGTAAGCTGTTTAAATTCAACTAAGATTAGGATTTTCAGTCTTTAAGCTGAAGATAGTGTTATTTATTAGCTACAAAGATGGATCTATGAATTAAATGGGACAGAACAGGATAATAGCTCAGAAGTGTGCAAGGCATATCAATGTGCTCAAAAAGGCTAGGTAAAAATTTGTAGCCCTTTATCAGGACTGAAGGTATAGAATTGTGCTCAGCATGCTGGAGGCCCTTGGTTCAATTTGCAGCAATCCTTCCAAATTAAACAAATGGCAGTAAATTCCTGACTTTCAGAAGTTAATGTGTTCCCAAATTGTGCTCAAGACACATACCATGGTTTCAATGAGGCCGATGGCCTCGAATGCAAAATCAGCACCAATACCGGTCATTTCCATCACCACCTCCTGGACGGGTTTCTCCAGCTTGTTAGGGTTGAGACAATCAGTGACACCCAAGGCTCTTGCCCGGGGAAACTTCTGCTCATTGATGTCAACCCCGATGATTCTAGAAGCACCAGAGGCTTTGCAGGCCATGACAATGGCAGAGCCGATCCCTCCGAGTCCAAACACCACACAGGTGGAGCCAGGGGTGACCTGAAGTTTCAGAGGTGATTTTGTGTTAGTAAGAAATGAAGAAGGGTGGGAAGCCTGCGGTTTCGTCCATGATTGGAGGAGCCTTCCGGCTGTGTGGCTCCCTGTTTACTGTGTAGACAGTCACTGAAAACAACTCAGAAATGTGTTCTTACCTGTGCTGTATTAAACACAGCTCCAAAGCCTGTCGCCACCTCACAGCCTAAGATACAGACTTTATCCATAGGAGCAGCAGCATCAATTTTCGCCAGGGCAATTTCATCTACCACAGTATATTCTGTGAATGTGCTGGTCCCGTAAAGATGATAGATTTTCTTCCCTCTGCAGGTAAATCTGCTGGTTCCGTCCAACATTAATCCAGTTGGAGAGAGAATACTGCTCCCCAGACACAGCAACAAGGAAGAGAAATGAAAAGACGTTACCAGAGTTGAGTCAACCCCTGCACCCAGGAAAGCACGTGAGGTGAGAAGTCAAAATTGAAACTAACTTCTCTTTCTTACAGAAGTTGCCCTTAGGGTGGAGGCAATAGACACATTCTCTACATTCCGGAAGAGGCAACGTTAAGACTTTATCTCCTGAGGAAAAAGAATAAAGAAAGTTATGACCAACTCAGGGGAAACCCGAAATACAGTAAATACCACTGGGAACTGTTTATAGCGGATGTCATCAATTCGCTACAGAAGAGTTGTGGCATGGTATTTGAAGTTAATTATTATTCCACTATGGGATCAAAAATTTTTACTATAAATAGACCTGCAAGATTAAAAAAGAAAAAAAGAATTCACGTATTTGCAACTCATGGCATTGAAGGTCAAAGGAAAGAGGTGGCTACGTCTCGGAGTAACATCTGTATTTGTGGTATGAGACTTGTCTGTTTGGCTCAGTGTTCCAGGAGAAAAGTAGAATCTGTCTTTATTGACATTTGGAAGAATGAATCATACATGAGCTAAATTAGAATCAGTACTTATTATGAGGTGTTGTATTATGCTAGAACTTGAGGAAAGGAAGGCAGCCTGTGCCCTTAAACCTGTTCTGCCATTAAGTAGCTAAATAAGTCAAACAAGGGAGCTGATCTTTTTCAGAGTACCTATCTCTTCAGAGGTGATTGAGATCAGTCTGTGCCTTGCCCTGAGTCACACCATATTGTGTCACACGGTGCTTTTCAGATTGATTGCCCCGAAAGACTTAACTTTACAAGTAGCTTTTGACTCCGTTTTGAGAAAGGAGGGTGATGACTGCTCCTAGGACACCATCTGGAGATCTCGCCCCCATAAAGCCTCTGTTTATTGGAATTTCTTTCAGTTTTCCAGCATTGCCTCTTAGGTCCCTTGAAATTCCTTGCCTTTGTAACCTACATATATACCTGTTCTGTAGTCCCTACCCTCCACATGCAAACTGATGTGTTTACTGTGTGATGTGTACATGTGATCAGGGTTAATATTAATAATTAGGATGGGAATGAAACAGCTCGTGCTTGCCTCAGCCAGTGCTTGAGATCAAGGCGATCTGGAATGTCTGGCAAATTGTTGCCAGCAAAACTGCTGCACCAGGTGAATGTACTGTTATTCAGTACATTCTGACATCATGGAAGGACACAAATATGTTCACCCATATTTTTGATATAGCATGCTCATGATATACATAAAAGAAAACAAATAATCTATGACAAATTCTTGTTAGAATAATGTGATATTATCAAGTGTTTGAAACATGAAGGTCTGTAATGTGGGGAAAGTAAATACAAATTCTAGAAGAAACTCTTATGCATGATACTACTCTGTACAATTGAAAAGATTAGTGCATACACACACATGTGTGTGTGTGTATAGAAAAGGGCTCATATTTTATGTTTAACCATATCATGATACAGTGTATATATTGTAATTCTTAGTGTAATATTGAGTAGATTAGTGTGGGATAATATCTATAGAAATGAGTGGATAAGAATTCTTCTTTTAGACCCTTGTAGTCAAACACAAAATTGGAAGAATATGAATATTCTATTTTTCCATGCTGGGAATTGAGCACAACCTTGTGCTGTGGGATGTCTTTTTGTATGCTGTGAATATGTGTTGCTCCAATTTGTTGATAAATAAAGCTGCATTGGCTTATGGAAGGCAGCTTAGAGGCAGGCAGGAAATCCAAGCAGATATACAGAGAAGAAAAGGAAAGAGAGGTGAGATGCCAGCCTGCTGCCCAAGGAGCACCATTGCCCCAGACTTGTAACCCCATGGTCACATGGCAAAACAAAGATTAATAGAAATGGGTTAATTTAAAATGAAAGAGCTAGCTTGCAAGAAGCCTGCCATAGGCCATACTATTGGTAATTAGTATGAAGCCTCTGAATGATTATTTTATAAACAGCTGCGGGACTGCAAGGCTGGGCAGGACTGGAGGAATGTGGGACTGCGGGCTGGGTGGGACCAGAGAAAACTTGTGGCTACAGCCTTGTGCATGGTAGGTAAGTGTCACACCACTGAACTCCGTCTCAGCCTGGGATTTTGAATCCCAAGTTGCCTATTTCTTGTACTGTGTCTGATGTCTGGATGCAGTTTCATGGTTTTGTCAATATATGGTGAGTTCTGAAATCTTCATGTTACCTCAGGGAAAGAATCAGAGTGAGAATTAGGAAAGGAATTAGTGCTATATTGTAAAAAATGGAATCTGCCTCTAGGTGAAGACAGGCTCCTGTCCCCTTCCTTAAGAGCTAATACATAGGGAGCAGCTGGCTAGGGAGAACCCACAAGAGGATGGGTTCATTGAAAGTACATGCTTTTCCTTTCCCGAATGCCTGACACATAACACCATGCCTACCAGCCAACCCATCGTGAGTCTTGGGGGCTGCTCGCCTTTCTAAGGCTATTTCTTCTTTTTCTCTCAGATGCTGCCTGTAGCCTGAGTATGCTCTCACACCCTATAACTATGCTCTGGGATCCCTCCTCTTTTTTCTAAAGCTCCTCTCCTTGGCTTGTGGCATCTGTGGCCAAGGGACTGAGCCCCACGCTGCCTCCGTTCAAGCAGCCTGACTTTCATTCCTTCTCTTCCTCACCTCTCCTCTCCCTTCCAGTGTGCCTGAACTGGGGGTTCCCTTTTAAGCTCCAATAAACTGTCTTTATGCTTCTGTTTGAATTCATTCTTTGTTCTCAAGCTTGGTTTTGATTGTTCTTAAATTCTTTCATTAATAAAACTAAGACCCTCAAGAGGGGACCTTGATTTCCCAGTTACCATAGGATAGCTCTGCTGGGGCTCCATGTGATTTCTGATAACATCTCTCCGCTGCCTCTTAATTCCTTCCTTCCTTCCTTCCTTCCTCCCTCCCTTCCTTCCCTCCCTCCCTTCCCTCCCTCCCTTTCTTCCTTTCTTTCCCTTCCTTCCTCCTTCCCTCTCTTTTCTTTTTTTTTTAAAGATTTATTTATTTATTGTGTATACAGTGTTCTGCCTACACGCCAGAAGAGGGCACCAGATCTCATTACAGATGGTTGTGAGCCACCATGTGGTTGCTGAGAATTGAACTCAGGACCTCTGGAAGAGCAACCAGTGCTGCTTACCCTCTGAGCCATCTCTCCAGCCCTGCTTCTTAATTTCTTAGAGCCCTGCCTCTTAATTTCTTAAGTGGCAGAGAAGCCAAACCTCTTCCTGCACCCCTTGATGGCATCAATATCATGCCTAGTTACCTACCTGGCTTTAAGGTAGTTACGCCTTGTCCGACACTCTCCACAATCCCAGCTCCTTCATGGCCCAAGATGGCAGGAAGCGGTACTTTGTTTTTCCCTTCCAGGATGTGGTTATCAGTACCACAGATCCCGGCGGATATAATCTGAAAAGATGATTAAATTAATGGAGAAAAATGCCTTGTGACAGAAAGACACACTCACTGTGTTCTTACTAATATGTGGATCCTGGCATCAAATCTTGAGATTTGCATGTTTAACTTGGAGTACTTGTAGAGTAGGTGTGCTGGTTGGTTTTTGTTAACTAGACACAAACCTAATATAACTGGGGGAAGAGAATGTTAATTGAAAAAAATGCTTCCAACAGGTTGGCCTGCAGCAAAGTCTGTGGGGTATTGTCTTGATTAATAATTGAGGTGGGTGGGTCCTGTTTACTGTGGGCATTGCCAACCTGGACTGGTGGTCCTGGGATGTATAAGAAAGCAGGCCGAGCAAGCCGTGAGTGAACAATCCAGTGAGCAGCACTCCTCCACGGCCTCTGCCTCGGTTCCTGCCTCCAGGTTCCTGCCTGACTTCCCTCAGTGGTGCGGTGTGATGAGAGGAGTGAAATGAAACAATCCCTTCCCTTCCCAAGTTGCTTGGGGTCATGATGCTTTACCACAGCAATAGAAAGCCTAACTATTTGAAAGAAGCCACTAGGGGGCGAGGGAGGACGATGGTTTAAGGGAGAAGGCAGAGGAGAACACAGGTGAAAAGGAAAAGGGGACTAATGAGGAGGGAGGTTTACCTGTAGAGGGAGATGGGAAAGTAAGGCAGAATAGGGGACGAGGCAAGGATAATGAACACTAAGGATACTTTAAAAAGCCATATTGAAACCTACTATTTTATAAGCTTTCTAAATTGTGTGTGTGTGTGTGTGTGTGTGTGTGTGAGAGAGAGAGAGAGAGAGAGAGAGAGAGAGAGAGAGAGAGAGAGAGAGAGAGAGAGAGAGAGAGAGAGAGAGAATCTCTTCCCAGAAACCATAGGTTGTCGAATAAAAAGTCCAGTCCCAGGTCCGGGGATACCTCCCCCTTGAATTGTTGGTCACGGGTGTCTTGGAGACCCCTCGAACAATATAGCTGTTGGGATGGTTCTTGGTTGTTCACCAGGAACTTGTTGGTATGATCCTAGTACTGAAAACACCACAGACGTGGAAAATCAGGCTGGTTCTGACTGGGGTGCCTTTCCCCTGCTGGCGTGCTTTCCTGGTACTGGAAGGTTCTATGTATGCTGCTGGGAGAGAGAAGCCCCCAGCAGTTTTATCTCTGAACTCTGCAAGCGATGATAATGACCAGCCTGGTAGGATGCACCCATGCGTGTAGTGGTAGCATGAACGCTCTGGAGGTAAAAACAACCATTTTCTCATTGGATTTAAGATCTACTCCACAGGAAGAAAAACATGCCTGGTACTATAAATCTGGCCAAACCCCGATGGCTGGGAGCTCATAGGCTCCAGAAATAAACCTATTACTATTGCTTTATTGCTAAATGGACATAGTATCAAACTGCCCTCTAAAGACATCTATATTTACTCCTTGATTAATACAACTGTCTTTGTGCTGTGGATGACAGTTAATGAAGAAACTCACAACTGGTCAAAGTGCAGAGAGTATGTATGGCATGCTCTGCCATAAATGGGACATCTGTGTCACATTCTTCCCCAAGGCTGGGGCCATATTGTGGAAGAGGGGTTGGACAGATTGTAAGAGCGCGAGGTTGAGGAAGACCAGGGAGAAACAGTGTCCTCTGGATAGGACGGACGCACCCATGAACTGAGAGCAGCTGTGGTCACCTGCACAAGAGCAAGCCGGCTAACACCCCAGGAGAAAAGGGCTCACAAGCCCTCACACCTAGCTGAGGGACTTCTCACAGCTGGTGACTGCTAAGTGAGTCAGTTTTCTTTAGGGGTTCGGTCCTTGATAGGTCAACCTTGCTCCAGTGGCTGGCCCCACACTGTGCATATATGAGCAGCATAAACTGGACCCAGTGAGGTGTTAAAAAATAAAAAGGACATGAAGTATGGAGAGGATGGGGAGGTGGGCAGTGAATCCATAAGGAGTTAAGAGCAGAGGTAAATACGATCAAAACATATCGTATGCATGGATGAAACTCTCAAAGAATACCATTATTATATCAAAGTACCTGGTCATAAAATTATCGAGTCTTTCAGAGGAAAATATGACACAACTTCAAGTCTAGAGGCAGATTACCCTCTAATTCCCACATTTGTCATATTATTGTGCCCACAGAACACAACACGTAGTTTCTCTTGTCTTCGTAACTTTGCCCAGACTGCCTAAACACGTCAGACCTCACTGAATTCTTTCTGGCACTTTGCTACTGTAGGATGGGGTAAAGCATACAGCAGGAACTTTGGGATACTTTTTGTTACATGAACTCCCTTGGAAGGAAGCCTGGGTAACATTTGGATGATCTCCCTGCATTCTGTGCCAAGAGGTAAAACAGTCTAAACCCGAGCCTTTCTGTGCCAGCTTTCCTGTCCCCATCCTGCGTGCTGTTTCCTGATAAAAACTAACGCAAAAGGGAAACAGAAAGGCCTTTGAAGACCTCTCCTAAGAGTCTTCTGCAGCACACAGCTTTCTGGCTTTCTCTTCATTGCAACTGTTTTTATCTCTAGCTGTTCCAAATCGAAAGGTCACTTAGTTTCCCTCCAGGGTACAGAGATACCACAACTGGATGACATTGGCGGCAAGTCAGATTGGTTTCAGACTGCATGTTTCCCTCGGAACTTGTTGACAGGGCTAACAAGTTTTTTCTAGACATTCTCTTTATTTTCATTATTTTTTCTGGCCCGCAGAAATTGATCCTTGGAACTTTTGAAATCTTTGTAAAATTGCTATTTCCTTCTGGCAATCTGATTGCTCACTTTGATGTTATTTCCTTTATTACTCTGGGCTCTTGCGGGGGGTGGGGGTGGGGGTTGGAAGATATTTATCTCTGTGTTTTCTTGGTCTGTTTATTCAGGTCATTGATCCAAGTAGTTGCCCCACAATCCCGTCTCTCTCTGTTCTTTTGTTGACTTGCTGCTCTTCAAAGCCCACTCTGGTTGGTCTTGAGGGAAATCAGTCTAGTCTGGTCCACAGCTTTAGATTTCCAGAGATTCAAGTGATGTCAGCATGGACTATTAATTGTATCTTTGCCTGGTTTTCTGTGTTGAGCTTGCTGCTGCTATACTCACAAGAGTTTCCAGTACTCTCTTAATTGCTTATCACCAAGATCTTGGAGACAGTTTGGGTGTGGTCTGCTCCCCGAGAGGTTCACATGCTAGACTCTCACTCCCCTGTGAAACAGGAACTGAATGCCAGCCTTTGATGGATGGGTCTAGCATATCACCCTCATAATGGCTTAGTGTCTTTCTGAAGAGACTAGATGGAGAGGCTTGTAGGAAGGTTAATCAGCTAAGAATGCTTTCTGTTCCTGCAGAGGCCCTGAGTTTGGGTTCTTAGCACCAAAGATGGGTAGCTCATAACTGTCTGTAATTCAAGCTTAAGTGTCTCAGATATCCTTTCATGGCTTCTAGGGACACCAGCACACAAGTGCACACAGATACACGGATGACACGTATACACACTTTAAAAACGAAATACATCTTTAAAAAAGAGACTAGATTAAGTCTCATGGGAATGAGTTAGGTCTAGCAAAACTGAATTAGTTACCGAGAGAGTTAAGTACTCCCCTTTCTCTGCCTCATTGTAAGAGAGCATGAGTTCCTTGCCAGAAGCTAGTTAGATACTAGCAACACACTCTTGAACTTTGGAAACTGAGAGTCAAATAACCCTAAAATACCCAAACAGTTCTTTGTTTTTGTAACTTCTCAAGGTATGAGTCCTCCCACACTCTTTTCCAAACAAAGTTAGCCCCCTTAACAGAACTGTGGAGTGCTGAGGCCTCCTACTTGCCTCTTCCTGTGGTTAGAACATCTGTATGGTGTAGTAGAGTTGGGTGAAGGTAGTGACTTATTCCCCCAAAGTGACACCTCTTCCCCATGAGCAGGGGAATGACAGTGTGAGCTCTTGCTATCAACTGAACTGTTTGCCTTTTACATACGGTGGCCCCAGGCAGCCCCCAGTGTAATAGCATTTGGAAGTGGAAGTCTTGGGAGGTAGTCAGCTTCAGATGAAGCCATGAATTCAGAACTTCTGTCTTTATGAAGAGAGAGACCAGGCGCTTCCTCGTTTCCACGTTCTCTCTTTCTCTCTCACATAAAGGTACAGCAAGAAAACGAGCATCTATCTAAGCCAGGATAAGAGCTTTCGTCAGAACCTGCCATGCTGGCGTCCTCATCTAGAAGACTTCCAGGCTCTGGAACTGTGAGGAAATAAATCTTGTTTAAAGCACATGAACAATGGCGTGTGGTGGTGACGGCAGCTGGAGCAGACTCAGACCTCACCTGGCCCTGCTAGAGCAAACTTTTCCTACTGATGAGAACAAGGAGGAAGTCAGCTGGCTCCTCCCTAGTACTATAGGTGTGTCACACCTGGAGAGTCTGTCGGTGAACCAGTGTGGGAGAGGGAGCCCGGGCCTCTTAGTCACTCCCACTGCAGCAGAGCATCTACTTTTGTCTGAGTCTGTCTTCTACTGATGTAACAGAATGTCACTGATTATGTCATCCTTAGCCTGTCAATTTATTTGGCTCACAGCTGTGGAATCTGGTGAATCTAAGAGCATGGTGTCTCTCATGGTGACTCTCATGTTACAACATGGCAAACAACAGGTGAATGTGTGTGACACGGAGAGGTAGGTGGGTGCAACATCATGCTTTTATTAGGAGTCTGTAAGTAATCCCTTCTTACAGTGACAGCTTTAATCCATTCATGAGGGCAAAGGCCCCACGATCTATTCACTCACTTCTTAGAGGCATTGTCTTGGAATCACTATATTGGCAATAAGACTTCAACACAAGTTTTGGAGAACACCTACAGCCATCTAATAGCTATATATCAGAATAGCTCTGTAATTGTGGAAAACAGAGGTTTAGGGACCAACAGTTGTGCTGATTTTCACAAATCTTACTTTGTGTGTGTGTGTGTGTGTGTGTGTGTGTGTGTGTGTGTGTGTGTGTGTGTGTATGCATGAGCTTTCCTGTGTGTGTATGTGAGTTTCCTGTGTGTATGAGAGAAAGAGAACTTTCTGTGTATGTATGTGTGTAACAAGAATCTTAAAAGGTCTTATTAATAAAAACAAACCCGGAGCCAGGTATTGGGGTGAATGCTGTAAGATCAGAGAAACAGAACAAACCACATCCAACCTCACCTTGCCAACTTCTCAGCTGATCTTGTTTCCTCTGATTGAAAGTCTCTGAGTCCTCATCTGAATGGATCTCAGCTGAACTGCTGCTAAAACCCTAAAAGCTTAAAAGGACCTCTAGTTCCTAGTCCTCATGCCTTATATAACTTTCTGCTTCCTGCCATCACTTTCTGGGATTAAAGGCGTGAGTCACCATGCCTGGCTGTTTCCAGTGTGGCTTTGAACTCACAGAGATCTGGATGGATCTCTGCCTCTGCATTGCTAGGATTAAAGGTGTGTGCTACCACTGCTTAAACCTATGTTTAATATAGTGGCTGTTCTGTTCTCTGACCCCAGATACATTTATTGGGGTGCACAATATATCAACCATATTTCCCCTTTTTTGTTTAAAATAAAAAAGCTATAACAAATGTAATAAAAAGTATATACAATAAGTATATATAATATATACAGTCAAGAATTACATTAACAATATCTAGTTCATTCACATTTGACAGATTCAGACAAAAAATTTCATTTCTTTTCCTATTTAAAACAAGTAGTTCCTTTATAAACGCAGATTCAATAAGCTACCTTTTATCTTATTGTATGTGTTTGTGGTGTGTGTGTGTGTGTGTGTGTGTGTGTGTGTGTGTGTGTGTGTGAGAGAGAGAGAGAGAGAGAGAGAGAGAGAGAACTTTCTGTGCGTTTGTGGCGTGTGTACACACATGTGCGCCAGAAGTTGAAGTCCAGATATCTGTCCTCATCTGCTCTTCTATTTTGAGACAAGGTCCCCCCTGAAACAGAGGCTAATCACTTTGGCTTCACTGATTGGACAGAAAGTACTGGGGGTTCTCCCATCTCCAGCTCCCAGTCACAAATACATGCCTCTTGCCTGGCTTTATGTGACTTCACTGAGCCACTTCCTTATTCTGATTTTCAAATCTAAAAAACATTAGTGTTTTAAAAATAATCCTGGCCATTTAGTATTTATAGTCTTAGGTTTGTGACATTTTAACAAAATGCAGCAACCTCACTATTACTATATGCTAAAGCCAATCTGTATAAATCATAGGAAGTCTTAGCTCTCTTTAATATAGAATACGATTTGTTTCCTAAATTCATTGTAAACACACATATATGCATCCACATCCATTCAATGTATCATCATTTATATTTACCTTAATTCGAACCTCGCCAGCCTTTGGTGGATCAACTTGAACCTCCTCAATGGACAGAGGGGCATTTGCTGTCCAGGCAACAGCTGCCTTGCATGTGATGACCTATACAAATTCAAAAATGAAGTGATGAGGTACATTTCTGCTAATGAACTAGAAACAGGTGAGATATGGAGTCAAATTACATCTACTACACTGAGCAGCCATCCTGCTTATCTCCTTTAGAGGTGAAAATAGTCTACTTATTCATTGGAACAATCACTCGTATCTTTTTTTATGTCTGATTAAAATAAAATTTTAAACAAAATGTCATAATGCAAGATGAGTTCACATCTACACACATATGTGTATATGAATTTAAATATACACATATACATGCATATTATACATTCTTTTAGCTCCAGCGAGCTGATTGGAATTCTTAGTTGATTTCTCTGTATTTAAAATGTCACAAAGTATCATTATTGGTTTATGAAGCCCAATTCTGCTCTCTGAGTTTAAATTCCTGCATTATACTTTCTAATATTGATTACTTAGAGATTAGAATGTATCGTGCAAAGAACCTTTTAAGAAAAGACAAGCAACACCTTGGAAGTAAAATGAGAAACCCTGGCCATCTTACTTTTCTAACCCAAGTTCATCCTAGTGAAACATAATGCAGAACATTTAATTTGCCATTATAACTTACTTCCTCTGTCTTATAACATTTATTCATTTTAGTTTGTAAATCTCCATACAATTCAATCTTTGGTTTTCTCTATTGATTTTTCGTTTATTAATAGGTATTTTGAAGATAAGAATTTAAACATACCTTTTATAAACTTTTCAGTATTGATTAAGTTGCTTTTTTTTAACACAAAAATAAGGGGAAAGTGGGAACACAGTCCCCTACTGTCACTAATTACACAATTCCCCAAATTTCGGGAAATGATAAGGGACAGCATATTTGGAGTGTAATGGATGAGCCTCATTCTGGAAAAAATACCTCCGTGATCACAGTATTTTCCCTTTTGGGTAAGTTTCTACTTCATGATCACAGTATCTCCCCTTTTGGGTAAATTTCTAAGTTGTTTCTTTAAATGATAACAGTTCTTATTTTACTGTGATTTTCATAGAAATTCTCTAAAACTGACTTGCTGATTACCAGGAGTTCTTCCTTTATGCAAAGCACGTTTTCAACAGAACCTTAAGTAGTAAAGTATACCTACTACTAAATATGCCCATTCTCAACAGAGCCATAAATAGTAAGGTATACCTACTACTAGTTGTGACCATTCCTTCTCAACAGAGCCTTAAATAGTAAGGTATACCTACTACTAATTATGACCATTCCGGAGACTATGTTCCCAGAGCTCACCCCGACTTACATTGCTGGGTGTTTTCGTGGCGAGGCTAACTTGCTCCATCTTTGCTTCTGGCAGGTTCAGAACCGAGAGCCTCTCCGTCTCTAGTGCTCACCTTCTGGACTGAGCACTGACGGTTTCTTATACTCCAGAGTGACTCAGCCACTACGCACTAACCAGAGAGGGAGGAGAAGGAAGAGAGAGAAATGAAAAATTGAAAGAGACAGGAAAAGGAAGACATAAAGCCAGGAAGGAAAGATGAGGAGGAAAGATGGGTGAAGGATAAACAAAAGAGGAAAGCAGTGATTGTTCTAGAAGGACAGTGAGGAAAAAAAGATGAAGGGGGAAAATATCACCTGTTCTGAAATGAATCTTGTGCTGAATCATTTGACATCATGTCCTGATCCTGAATACAACTTTTAGCGCTTTATTTTTAATCACTCCTTTCTGGGCAAAGAGACAGAACTTCCTAAAGAATTATAGGATTAGCTTGACTGGGGTTCGAGCATGGTTTCCTGTTTCAGATGCTCTGAGTTTGGGGGCGGGGGGGGGGGGTTATGAAGAGGAATGGATGAAACTGTGAGGAAAGAGAAGTGCAGACGGATGACGGGTGTTCGAGTCGGAGTCCACATAAGAGAAAGAGTGAAATTAAACAGGTTGGAGTAAGTCTATCCGCCCTTACCTGCCAAGTGCTGGGGTGAGTACAGGACTGTGCTGCCAAGCCTGGCAGATTTCAACACTCTGGAAGGAAAACGTATCAACCAGTAAGGAGAATGAGAAAGCAAGAATCATCAAAAACACATGCATTAGGTTTTAAACTGGCGCAATCAATGAGAGACAATGGTGTGTGTGTGTGTGTGTGTGTGTGTGTGTGTGTGTGTGTGTGTGTGTGTGTGTATGTGTGTGTGAGACAAATATTTCCTAGGGAGGTGTAAAACATACATGTACTCACCCTAGAAAAGGAACCCATAGCAGACTTAAGTAATGATTGTACCAGAGTCCAACTTGGTGAAGCACTGAGTTTTACTGGGGTCACTAACAGGAGTGAAGTGTTCTTTGCAGGAACAAGGATTGACTCAAGAGGGGCCTCATCACCAGGCTTCATCCCTGGAGCTCTCTGCATGGCTTGCCCAGGAGTCCACAGTCACAGAGACCTCTCTACAGCTTGCTCGTCAGTCTCTCTTGAGCGGTTGCTTACGGCTTCCACAGCCCTGGGGAGAGGTCCTGGGGAACCTTGCAAGCTTCAGGGTTCCCAGACTTGTGACTCTTGTTACCTCCTGAGTTTGCGCAGCCTCCCCTCTTCCCTCTGGAGTGAGTGTTTCAGTTCAGAGGAAGGCGCCTACAGAGACACTTCTCACTTTAATGCCTGTACTGAAGCCTGATTTCACTTTTGATATTTGCAGCAGCTTTCAAGTCCATACTCATCCCTGTTCCTTTCATGTCTTCCATTTGATTAAATGTATGATGGATCTTGCACAGTCTCCATTAATATTGGCGTCACCTTGATCTTTCAAACCATTTATGTACCTCCTTGAGAGTGTGTCTGAATCTCCCCAGCAAGCCCTATTTTTTTCAGTAGTTTTCTCCTTCCCTCCAGGTATGGCATCACCCATCCACATTTGAACCAATTTTATGTAAATATTACAGCTAGTCATTTAGTGTGGTAGCCATTGGTATCTGCAAGCATGGGTTTCAGCAAATATCAGCACACCCTAGGGCTTATTTTGCCTTGCTAATTGGTCCTGCTGACTTCTCATGAACTTGTATTTTGAACTGCTGCCTCCTGGCTAATGAGCATCTCTTTTATGAGCTGTGATGCCACCTCTATGCTAGCCTGCATTTGGAGCTAGGCTGCTTATTGCTGCATTTGCTGAATATGATGAAGCCTCTATTACAGATTCTAGAAGCAAGACACTCAACTCAGTATGAATACAACAATGTGGTGGTTAGAATAAGAAATGCTCTTCTGGGTCCATGCTCACTCGAGCCACAGTTTTTGGTGGTGTTTGGGGGAAGTTATGGAACCTTCGGGAAGTTAATCCTGGCTGGAGGAAATACATCATAAGGTTTTTTGTTTGTTTGTTTGTTTTGCTTTATAATCTCACTTGGCTACTTGTTTTGTGTCTTTCTCTGTGTCTGTGTCTGTCTCTGTCTCCATCTCTCACGGCTTCCTGAATCTGTCACCCTGCCATGTCTTTCTCACCACCATGAACTCTTCCTCTGGAACCATACACTCAAATGGCCCTCTCTTCCTTAAATTGCTTCTGGTCATGGTGTTCTATAACAGCAACAGGAAAGTAACTAATACAGGTGAGTGTGGAGCAAGCCACAGCTGAGAGTCACTTTAAGGAGGAACTGACCTTGCGGAGAACCTGGGTGTTGGTTTCATTCTGTAGCAAGCTCAGAAGACTGATGCTTTGTTTAATATGGCCTCAGTTACGTTTCTCTTCATTGTGACAAAAATGTGTGACAGATTAAACAGGGAGGGAGGATCTCATCCCCTCTCACCGCTTCATAGCAAGGAGGGGTTGGTGGCTGAAGTGGCCGTCTGTGGAAGGCTGTCATTCAGCATAGTCACATCTTAGCAAACAGGAAGCTGAGACATGAATTAAGCATTATGTAAGACAGAGGGTCCTTAGACTTTGTAGAACAGCCATTGTCACAGGGAGGTGACATCCTGGTGACGATCCTGATTGGAGACTCTGAGAAAGAACTTACATATGAATGGAGGCTCTGCCTCACACACAAAGTACTCATAATTTTTAAAAAGTTACATGATCATATTGGAAACCCAAAATTTACTAAACAATTATCATCCATCAAAAAATAAAAAAAGGGTACCAGCTAGCTTTGCACCTCAGTAACATAGGTTGATTCTAAATTAATTTTAACATCTGCTGACTCATATCAATCAGCAAACTTTTGTGGGCTTAATTAATACTACTGCTCAAGCAACAGCTGTATGTGGAATCTTGGTACATTTAAATGTGGTACCTTACACATGGAGGTGCCACTAAATTTAAACTTCAAGCTGTTATGCTGCAGTGGAAGTTTCCCAATGTGAAACAGAGGAGAAGTGGTATTCCTTGCTATAATCATCAAAACAGTTGCCTTGCGTAAATTCCCCGGAGTTACAGCCCTAAACCATCTCATGTAACAATAAGTTAAAGACTGGGCACCTACAGTTCCTCTTCTATTGTCTAACTGAAATAATAAACACAGCACAATTAGAACTAAAACAACTCCTTCAAGGATTGTGACCCACTGTACAAAAGCTCCTTAGGGAAGGGATAGTTCGATGCACTGTTTCACCTTTATTTCCTGATTCGAGTTTCTTGGTCCTTGTAGTGTAAAAGCTGTGGGATCTGGCATAGTAAAACATACACATTTGGTCTCAGCTTCTGGTTCCTAGCATAGCACCCCTGACTGTTATTTTTTGAATGATGAGCATGATATACATAGAGCTCCTTAATCCCTGAACACTCTAGGGTATAGGAGAAATTTTGTTCTTCTGAGGCAACTTGATGGAGTTTCTAATAGTTTCAGCAGGACGCAGCACAATTGGTCCCCAGAGACCATGCCATGAGCGGGGACTCAAAGCTCTCAGTTTCCCTTACTATCTTTTAGGGAGGGATGAGGGTTGGAAATTCAACTGATGTGCCTGCCCATCATGCCTATGTTGTAATGATTCTCCATATTGTATCTCTCTAGTTTGGGGGTCTGGAGACCTAGGTTGGTGAACACACCCGAGTGCTGGGAGGCTACACTTCAGTTTAACAAGGTCAGACTCAGCTGTTTCCAGGAGCTGTCTGGACCTTGCCCTGATCCTTTCATTTAGTTGTTTATTTCCATATCTTTTTAACATCCTTTCAAATTAACCTGAAGTGGTTCTCTGAGTTCTGTGACCTAGTGCAGTAAGTGGTCAGTCCTGAGGAAAGGTCATTGAAATGGCTGCTTTACCTCTGTCAGAGAGTTGAGTAACCTATCATTCACCGGCTTTGATTAGCTTCTGATGTGGGAGGCAGTTTCATGGAACTGCGCTATGGGTTCTGTGCTTGCCTTGAGGTAGTTTGTGTCAGAACTGAATTAAATTGTAAGAGACCAAGCTGGAGTCCATGTGGAGCTGGAGAATTGCTCAGTATAGAAAACTGACATGTTGAATGTGAGAAAAACCTATGCTAGTTATTCTGACAGGGGATTAATATCTAAGATTAAGCACCCAAACAATCAATACATAAATAAGCAAATGAACTATACAGACAAGTCTCAAGAGAAAAATTATACAAATGGTCAATTAATACATGAATAAAATGTTCACTATTTTCAGTCATCAAGGAATGTAAATCAAAATTGCATTGAGATACATCTTACCTCAGTCAGAATGGTTACCATTGAGAAAAACAAACCACAAAGTAGCTGCTGCAAGGATACCCTGAGTATAGAGCCCTTACACACTGTTGGTGGGAATGTAAATTAGTGTAGTCACTATGGAAATCAGTATGAAGGGGCTTCGAAAAACTCGAAAAAGAGTTGTCAAATGCTCTGGCTATCCTGCTCCTGGATATATACTCAAAGGACTTTAAGTAAGTACACCACAGAGATGCTTGCACATCCATGTTTACTGAGGCACTGTGCACAGTACTCAGCTATGGAGCCAGTCTAGATGCTCAATCTAGACTGGATAAAGAAAGTATGATATCTATCTATCTATCTATCTATCTATCTATCTATCTATCTATCATCTATCGGTCTAATATATTATCTATCTATCTAATTTATCTATTTATCTATGTATCTATCATCATATCTATCATCTGTCTGTCATCTATCTATCATCTGTCTATCTAATCTATCATTCATCTATCACCATCATCATCTATTTACCTGTTATCTATTATCTGTCATCTATCTATATATCTATATCTACCATCAATCTATCATCTGACATCTATATATATTATCTATCTATCATCTATCTACTATTATGCCATTAAGAAGAATGAAATTGCCGGGTGGTGGTGGCGCACGCCTTTAATCCCAGCACTCGGGAGGCAGAGGCCGGCGGATCTCTGTGAGTTCGAGGCCAGCCTGGTCTACCAAGTGAGTTCCAGGAAAGGTGCAAAGCTACACAGAGAAACCCTGTCTCGAAAAACCAAAAAAAAAAAAAAAAAAAAAAAAAAAAAAAAAAAAAAAAAAAAAAAAAAAAAGAAGAATGAAATTGTGTCATTTGCCCAAAAATATATAGAGTTGGAGATGATCTTGTTAAGTGAAATAATCCAGACCCTTCAAGAAAAATGTTGCATGGTTTCTCTCATTACAGAATCTTGGCCAAGAGAAAGCGTGTTGAAAGCAGGAGGAGGATTATTTGAGAAGAGGAAGATGGCCAGTAGAAGTGGGAAAAGGGTCTGGGGAGGGTAATGGGAGTGAATCATATCGAAGCATATCACATACAGGTCTGAGAATGTCACAATGAAACCTGTAATTTTGTACAATGAACAACCACTAATAAAAAGAAGCAACACTGGACTAAACTCTCGTTTAATAAATTTAACTCTGGTACATATTCAATACCCCATTTCCCTATATGGTTCATTTTCTTCGTGTAGCACTTTTGTAGCTATAGTTTTTTTCTGGTATAAGAAACATGTTTACTTGAAAGAACAGTTCTCAACTTCAGATGGAAGAACAAAAAACCCCAGGACAGCCAAAACAATCCTAAACAATGAAAGAACTGCTGGAGGTATCTCTACCCCTGATTTCAAGTTGTACTACAGAGATAAAGTAATAAAACTGACACCTTGATTAATGGGATCGAATTGAAGACCCAGACATAAGTCCACACACCTATGGACACCTGAGTTTTGATAATGAAGCCAGAAACACACACTAGCAAAAAGACAGCATCTTCAACAAATGGTGCTGGTCAAACTGGACATCTACATGTAGAAGAATGCAAATATATCCATATTTATCACCCTGCACAAAATTCAAGTCCAAGTGGATCAAAAGCCTCAACGTAAAACCAGATACAATGAATCTGATAGAAGAGGAAGTAGGGGAACAGTTTTTAATGCACTGGCCCAGGAAAAGACTTTCTGAACAGAATACCAATAGGGCAGACACTAAGATCAACAGTAAATGGACCTCATGAAACTGCAAAGCTTCTGTAAGGCAAAGGACACCATCAATAGAACAAAATAGTAGCCTACCAAATGGGAAAAGATTTTTAACAACTCCACATCTGATAGAGGGCTAAGATCCAAAATATATAAAGAAACTATATATTCCAGTAATCCAATTAAAAATGGGTTACAGATCTAAACAGAGAATTCTTAATAGAGGAATCTCAAATGGCTGAGAAACATTTAAAGAAATGTTTAACATCCTTAGCCATCAGTGAAATGCAAATCAAAACTACTTTGAGATTCCATCTTACATTTGTCAGAATGGCTAAGATCAATAATACAAGTAACAGTTCATGCTGGTGAGGATGTGGAGCAAGGGGAACACTCCTCCATTGCTGCTGTGAGTGCAAACTTGTACAGCCGCTATGGAAATCAGTGTGGTGGTTCCTCAGACAGTTGGGAATCAATCTACCTCAAGACCCAGCTATACCACTCTTGGATGTATACCCAAAGGACACTTGATCTTGCCACAGAGACAGTTACTCAACCGTGTTCATTGCTGCCCTATTCAAAAAAGCCAGAAATTCAAAACAACCTAGATATCCCTTAACAGAAAAATGGATAAAGAAAATGTGGTACAGTTACACGATGGAGTATTACTAGACTGTTAAAAAAAATAAAATTGTGAAAGTTTTGCAGGCAAATGGATGAAACAGAAAAAAATCATCCCGAGTGAGGTAACTCAGACCTAGAAAGACAAATATGGTATATGCTCACTTATAAGTGGATATTAGCCATTAAGTAAATGATAACCAAGCTATAATCTATAGACCCAGAGAGGCTAGGTAGAGAGGGGGCTTTAGGGAGGACACATGGATCTCCTGAGGAAGAGTGAATAGAATAGATTTTATGGGTGGACTGGGGTTCGGTGGGGATGGGATCAGGAGGGATCAGGTTGGAGGGATTGGATGGAAGGAGAGAGTGTGGAGAGAGATGGCTGGAATTTGGGACCATGTGGGAGGCAGTGTGGAAACCTAGTGCAGTGGAAACTTCTTGGAATCTAGGAGGGTGATCCTAGCGAAGACTCCTGGTAATGGGGGATATGGAGTCTGAACTGGCCATCTCTTGTAGCCAGGCAAGGCTCCTAGTGGTGGGGCTGGGTTACATTCACCTGAGTTGTTGGCAGGGGTGGGAGTGGAGGTGTTGGAGGGGGGAGATCTGGGGGCTCCTATGGAGATCCCCAAACAACCCAGGCTGATGCTAGGGTAAAGGGTTGCTCTTCAAAGACTGACATGGGGCCACATTGCTGGCTGAGAACAGCATCCACACAGCTCATTGAATGTTTCGAGGTTGAGCTGGTGCCTGAATGAAGCCTTCACCCCTTTGCTCTAGTTTCTTTGGTTGGGGAGGGTACTCTGTGGGCTACTGAAGGAGAAATGTGGGCAGCAACCCAGCCAAAAAGCCCTTGACCTACAATCTGTGCTGTGTGCAAGAAGTGCTAAGGCAATGGTGGCACAGAACTTGTTGGAGTAGCCACACAATGTCTGATTTAACTTGAAGCCCACTCCACAAGAGGAGCCTATGTAGAGAAAAAGCAGTCCATTTCTCATAGTTACGATTTATTTCACCACAATTTTAATTGCAATTTGTAGGCGATAAGGATGCCAATAAAAAAAATGGCTAATAATATTACAGAAAGTTATGTCAACTGAGAATTCTCCTTGCAAAGTTGAAATTTTGACCTTGAAGGAAGTTGAGGGTGGATTCTCACTTCACAATATAATAATGAGAGAATGTGAAAGAGGGGTCCGATGCCAGGCGCTGTCACAACATTGCCTTTCTACAGACTCTCAAGTGATTCTGAGGTGGTTCCTCCTAATGGAGTGGCTAATGTGGAGCCACGTGTTTCTCGCACATGACAGTTACATTAGATAAGAAATCACGCTCCTTTTTTCCTGTTTAAAAAATGTAAACTATTCTAATACAGTGTTAAATATGAAATCTGTATTACAATACATAAAATATGATTAAAAAAATTTAAAAATCTCTTCCAGCAAAAGAAAGTAGAAGTTTATATTTGTGTATCTTTGAAGTGTAAGAAAGGCCCTAGTCAAAGATATTTATATATATATATATATATACATTATGATATATTTATTTATCTCTCTATATAGCCATGTATGTGTCTGTGTTTATCAGAGGTGAAGCTTGCTCTTCAGACTCTCCTCTTTCCCTGTTTAAGAGCTAAATGCCCAAGTGATGACAGCTGAGATAACTTTAAAATTTAATGGCTGTAACTAGCCTGTTGAACAGGGCAGGGTTTCTTTCCCTTTCTTGTGTAACCTCTTTGATCTTGTCTCTGGGGGTGGCATTCAATCATCACCCTACATCTATTGCTTCCTGTTGGGGTGTTGTAATTCCAAGCTCCTATTCTAAAAGGGCCTGTGCTCTCAGAAAATTATGGGGTTCTGAGTCAATTATCCACTTGTATGGCTTCTAGCTTCCTCCCATATCCCACTTTCCTTAGGGTAATGAATAGGCAAGACCAAATATAGGCTCTTCCATCCTTTGACCAAACCTCTCACCACCAGCCTGTATGGGGCAGGATGGCGTTACAGTATCCACAACCTTTCCTCAGGATCATAACTTCATTACGGTATCCGCACTCTTTCCTCAGGATCAGAACGGCATTACGGTATCGCACCCTTTCCTCAAGATCAGGATGGTGTTAACAGTACCCGCACCCTTTCCTCAGGATCAGAATGGCATTACAGTATCCGCACCCTTTCCTCGGGATCAGGATGGCGTTACAGTATCCGCACCCTTCCCTCAGGATCAGAACGGCATTACAGTATCCACAACCTTTACTCAGGATCAGAATGGCATTATGGTATCCGCACCCTTTCCTCGGGATCATACATGGTCTAGTTCTTGAGCTTACACTGTGGCAGGGAGCCAGACATTGAGTTTCCTTGGGGACTGACAAGAATGCAAGCGCCCTCTAATCCGTGTATGGAGGCCTTCAGAAGACCTGGTGTGTTGGGGCATCCCGTCAAATCCACCAGGTGTCTCTGGAGAACTGAGCACAGCTTACAGGAGGATGAGACACACTGGTGCTGTTTCTCTAGGAACTATGTTCCATGATAACTTTCCCAAGACTGGGAAACAAGTCTCTGTTATGGGCCTCTCTGAGACTATATCCTATACACCTCGGAAGGCCTCTCCCATGAGGCTCTAAAAATGTCCTGCACTAACGGCTCTGGTCTTTTCCCAGACACCCAAACAGATTAAAAGAACAAATGATAGACTTATTTTTCTTGATCCCGTGTTGGAAGGAATGTCTTGCTAACTGGCAGACACAGTCTGTATTCTCAGGAGGGAAATGTCTACTAAATGAGTAGAAAGGACACAGTAACCGAAAACCAAGTGAAGTAACCCGAACAGTGGGGATGTCTCCAGCAGAGCCAAGGAGGAGTTCTCAGAATGGGGAGAGCTGAGTGAATCTCCACCATCAGGGAAGCGCGGGGAGGAGGCAGTGTATGGCAGAGCCAGCAGGGACTGCCCCAGACTTGGAGCTGAGGCACCATTGTTGAGGCCCAGAGCCATCCAGATCATGTGACACTTGGTTCTTCTGACGCTGTAGTGCCCAGAGGCTGAGGCCGGGACCCTTGACCTCTGAACAGCAGTGAGAATCCAGATAGCCCCTCGGTTCCTAGTGCCCACGACTGTGTGAGCATCATTGGGGAAAGCAGGCGGAGGTAAAGGAAGAAAGGGGTAAAGAAGGAAGAGAGGGAGGGGCTGCGGAGGAAGGCATGCACGTGAGGAGAGAGCACAAAGGAACGTGTTCCCCGCTCCTGTGAGGTTGGTAGTCTTTCCCGGGACCTGCTGTGGCATGTGGGTGGGTGTGATTTTACAGGGAGCTTTTTGATGCAAGATGGTTTTCTTGCATCTGGTTCATTACCTGATCTCGGCCCACAACCGGATTATCCAGTCACTGGAGTCTCCAAACGTCATCTCCCTAAAAGTATGTCGCCTGCTCTTGTTCACAACTTGGAGTAATTACTCTCAGGCACCCCAGAATGAGTAGAAAGCTTAAGAGATTAGAAACAAAAATCCTAACCTGTTTTCTGACTCACCGACTGACAAGGGGCAGCTATCTGGGTTCCGTGGGCACCTCGAAAGGGTTTCACGATCTTATGTTCCAGAATAAGGAGCTGAGCAGAGACCTGTGGATAGAAGCAGAAATAGGAGCTTATTAGGAAAACATACATTTCCAGAGGAGAAAGGGGCCAGAGCAAAAAGCAACACCCTGCTGCACAAACTGAGGGACTTTTGTGTCGCACAGTACAAGCTTTCTGGCTCGTTTGCATAATTGGGCTTTTGTCTGCTTGTTCTAGCTGTGCCATCTTGCACCTTGTTCCTCATTAGCGTTTTAAATCTCCACTCAGATTTGTGGATTTTAATGTGCGAGCTCCAGGTCTACAGTTGGAGCGCCTATGATCCTGCTCCAGTGCCTCCAGCCACGTCTAGTCGTCCTTAGCTAGAGATTTCCGGCCTTCCCCTTTGCACTCTGTTTAAGGCATTTCTTATAGGCTAGTTTTGTAGGCTTTGTGGGTAAGGCTTTCTGGATCTCACTCTCTGCCCCAATTAAGAAGAAAAAGATCTGTGGCCTAGTCATTTTTATAGATTCATAAATTCTTTATGCAACTAATTACTATCGCCCACTGAGATCTGAATTCGAGATCATTACTGGCATTTGAAAGGCAAACAGGATAGCTGAATTTACTATTCATTAAAGTGGCTGCTGTAGATTTTTGGTTGGGGACTTATCCCTTTGACCAAGTCTGATGACAGAGGAACAGACGGATGAAAGGTGGCAAACTTTTAATGCAAATATTTGGAAAACAAAACAAAACACAAACAAGGAAAGACGGCAGCACCTGCGTACCGGAGTAAGATGAAAAATTTGGGTTATCCTACAACACTCATTTTGAGTCAGAAGACGTTAGAAATTTATGTAAAAACACATATTTTTAGCATCTTGGTTACATTACACAAAACACGCTTTTGTGGATGAGGTTCCTCTCCCCTTTACAGTGTCCCCTAGTCACCATTAATTAATTCTGAAGTTCAAATGATATGAAAGACAATCATACAAACAGGAATAGCTTGAGATATCCCAGCAGCCCAAGGGAACACTTGTACTGTTATCAAACTTGGATGCTGGGTATCTAAATATTCCTGGTAATTCTGTTCATGTATTATCTGCTTTACAAGACCTGCAAAACCGTTCAGACCATGACAGACAACATCATTGCCGATGGTGAACAGCTCTGAAAGTGAGCTGTGTCTTTGTGGTGGAAGGGGATCTCTTATAATCTTAATAGTCATCCTGTTACATCCTGAGCTTTGTGCAGTTAACTGCTGCTTTAACTTCATTGTCTCTTAGTTACAGTCAGTCCACTCTCAGAGGGGCTGTGATGGTCTGACTCCATCTCTGTGGGCTCCATTAGTCACCCTCTAACTCCTGAAAATCTACAAGAATGGGGACCATAGGAACTACTCCGTGTCCTCAGACTCACCTTTCACTTATTGTTTCTCCCCGTCACCTACTCAGGAGCCAAAGACCCCTCTCCCTTTACCAGACAATTATACAAATAAAGCCATAGAAGCACTTCTGGGGGCCTTTTAGATAGGCCCACTACAGGAGCAAGCCATTAGACGCACCCGAACCCCCGCCTCGACTTGTAGAACCCAGATTGATTTTCACCCCAATTTCCTAACAGCAGTTAGCGTTGTCTCCTCAGGAAGGGAAAGGAAATGCTGAGAGCAGGAGATTGCTAGCAGGAGATTGGCCAGGCAGTTTTCAGGTAAAGGTGTTCCTGAAGAGTGGACAGTTTTCTTTCCTGGCTAGAAGTCAAAAATGTTCTTGAGTATGTGAGCATCCTGGTCCTTTGAAAGAGGCCAGATACGTTTCAGCCAAAATGTCTCTGGTTCTGCCATGACCAGAGGCTGGGGTGTCAGAAAGAGGAGGTCTGTTTGTTCCATGTTTCTTCCCCCCTGAGGGGGCAGTGTGGCTGAAATGGGGCACCTGGGCACCTTGAATCAGCTCCTCTCCCCTTCTTCCATCCTTCACCCAACAAAGCCTTGTCAACTTCAAGGCAGTGGCCCTCGATGGCATCCCACTCCTGGGACCCCTCCTGTAGCTAGGGGCTGCTTTCTTTCTTTCTCTTCAGCTTTCTGTAATAAAAATAACTCCCCCCCCTTTAAAACTTACCTTCTGGGGTCCATGAATTTCATTCTTTGAAATCAAAAGACAAGAATCTAAAAGCCACTAGCTTGGGGTGGCTTGAGTTTCCAGGGCCTTAGTTCCTGAAGCAAAGCACAGGAACTGAGAAGGGCTCCCTTGCTTGAGAATTTGAGCTCCACCCAACGAGAGCTTCTAGGGAGTGACATGATTTATACTGGCCTGGCAGGGTGTTGTTGGGTAGAAAACTGGCAGAGATTACAGAGGCAGCCTGCCACATAGCTCCACAGCTACACTTTCAGTTCTTCTGGAGAAGTCACCAAATGAAACTGATTTCTTTGGCAACCCAAGTCGGCAAAGGCAGAACGTTCACACTGACTTCCTTGCTAGCTGCCTGCTGATTGGTTTGCCTACTCACTAGCCATGTGCACATCCTTTTTACCGTCCTCAAATTTTCTTCTCTTCAGGGTTTTTTCTTTCCTCTCTCACCTGTCTCACTTGTTAATGTTGTGCACCCCTGACCAACTGAGATGTTCTCTTTTTAAAACCACCCAATGTCTTAGAGTCAGTCCTTGAAGACTGAAGACAGCTTCTATCTGGACGGTCTGAGAGGTATTGCCAAGGGGTTAGTATGACAGATGTAGAACTGGAATGGGCCAGCAGTTCTGTATCATTTCCAATCAAGCTATTTTAAAACACCTCAATTTCCACCTTACAACGAATATACTCCTACCAGTCAATTAATCATTTCAACACAAAGACTCCCAGATTTATTTGTTTGTTTACTTATATATGTCAAAACAATCATAACAGGCATGTGCATTTGCAAACTACCTTAATATTGTGGTTCATTTTTAAGCTTAGTAATATATTTTATCATTTGAAAAAGTTGTATGACATACCATGATTTAAGGGAAAAATGATATTCCATCAATAACAACTACTGGACACTTTGGCTGTTTCTAATTTGAAGAGTTACAATCAGTATTTATACAAGTGTCTTTGAAGAAAAAGGTCCATTAGAGCATCCTGTCTACCTTATTTCCCTAATCTCATCCACAGCCATTCTGCTTGTCCTCTGCATGCTGCAGTAAGTTTGAACATTCTGTCTCCAGTCTCACAGCATTTGCATAGGTTCTTCTACCCCTAGAGAACACTCTCAGTTGCTCACTGCCAGACCAGTTTCTGCTCAGCTGAGACCTCGTGGACTCTTTAAACTAGGTAGGTCATGATGTGATGGCATGTTCCATGAGCATCTTGATGTACACAGCTCTATTGTGACTGTATGCTCTCATATTTTCCCCACACTTTGATACACGCAGAGTGCCATCTATTTTGTGTTTTGACAACCTATGATATGAACAATTACATCATTATTTAGTATTTCTTTTTTCTTTTCTAAAACAATTATTCTTTGTACATGTGTTCGAGCACTCAATGTGTGTGTATGCTTCTGCCACAGCACGTGGAGGAGCAGAGCCAACTTGATTGACCCAGATTTTTCCCTCCCATCTTTACATGGGTCCCACAGACTGAACTCAGGTTCTTAGACTTCCCAGCCATCACCTTTACCCACTGAGGTATCTCATTAGCCCATTGCTTAGTACTTTTTATTTGGCAAGATACTTGTTTCTGACCTAGTTAATTTTCCACTGGGATATGATATTATCATATATTATTAATTTATAAGCATTCTTTACATATTAAGTATTTATTACCATTTTCTATGATATATAAATATCTTCTATACGTTTGTCTTATGTCACCAACATTCCCCCCCACACTGTTATTTTATCATATTTGTCACAGCTTTTTAAAAATTGGTGATGAAAACCTAAATCTAGATACAAAACTGGGAACACATTCAGATACCTCTTTTGAAAGCACATTTTAGTATTTTTAAAACTGAGTTTAAAAATACGAAAACAATGCAATTTAAACATTGTTTTGAAAACTAAGAGTGCAGCACTATACATAGTTCCCTTTATCTGTGAAATGGTGGATTCCAGTTAAAAACTAGCAGGGTCAGAGCAGAGTGGAGAATGTAAGAGGACTTTTCCTCATGTTTTAAAACCTAAAGGATTGGATGAATGCTAATGAGTGAAGGCAAAAGTAGGAAGTACGATTGATGGAAAAGTTGAGAATAAGAAGAGCTAAACCTCGTTCCCTCTCTTCCCTCTTTCAACTCCAAATGAGATGACTACACTGAGTTTGTTGAAAGAAAAGGCTTGGTAGGAATAGGGGGTGGGGTGCTAGAGATGTGGCCGAGTCCCTCTGAGAAGATCCTGTATCTTCTCCCTGGGTTGTAAGTTGTAAAATTTCCCAAATAGGCAGCTGGGAGCCATGCCTCACTCCTTCATGAGTAATAGCAATGGTTGATGCAAACCCTGAAGGACAGAAGATGGCTCACTGCATCTGAGAGTGCCTTTCATTGACGACTGTTAGGATCCAAGAGAAGTCCCATAAAAGACCACCAGTCACATATGCAATCAACAAGAGTGTTTATCAAAATTTCCAGCATCTTGGGGTGGCAAAAGGTGACACCAGAAAAGCTCACAGGCTTCTTTTAAACAGGGTTAGGGGAATTCCAGGGAGGAAGGGTTAGTCTGGGGCTAATGGGTGGAGGAAAGATTAGTCTGGGGGCTGATTGGTGGGAGGCTGTACTGGTTAGGGACCTTTTAGCAGCAGGGTAGGAAAAGCTATCTTTAGCTAGCAGAAGGTTGTGGGGTGCCTGCTGAGCTAGCAGAAGGTTGTGGGGCACCTGCTGAACTAGCAGAAGGTTGTAGGCGCCTGTTGATTGGTTGCTCCTGAGTTGCGGTCTTCCCAAGAACTGCTTGCTCAGCTCCAGCCAGTTCTAGTAAACTGAGACTAAGGCCTGGTCCCTGGCAGGGCTATTAGAAACCTGTCATGGCTTTGGTCTGGCTCCCCGGCCCTCTCAGTGATGACTCCACAGCAGGTTGGGAAAGTGGTGTGGAATATACAGGGAAATCTGCACATATGAAAGTATCTGGAAGATATGAACATGGGGACAGCTTCCATGAACTTATGGCAGTTGGTTTGTGGACATGATCAATACTATCATGAATAGAATGCCATCATTTCTCTTTTTAGGGTCTCAGCGTGAGTTGCACAGCTCCAGTTCTTCCCACTTGTTTTATTATCAGTATAGTCAAGGGGTCTTCATTTCCTATTGCACAGCTGCATTGTATTCCTGCCGCTGATGCATCCATCATCTCTTCCGGCTGCTCAGGAATAACCAGAGGTGGAACCGGAAAGCCCTTCAGGATGCTCTTGCACTTTTAGCATTGAGATCTCAGAAGAGTAGAACACAGCGGATGCTGAAACGTAAAACATTTGATCATGAAATGCCTGGGAAGCACCGCCTTCGGCACAGTGATGTGAGTGGCACCCTAAGGATGCTCAATGCCCAACCATTCCCATCTTGATTTCATCTCCACTCTAATTCATCTAAGTAACAGCTGGCATCTGAGTGGGGTCTGGATTGGAATCAAATGTCATACAGAAAAGGAAGGCATCCTCTTCAAGCACAGTTCCCCATGGCTGCACAACCACAGAAGATCCCAGGATCTCAGGTGCAGCTTCTTATCAACATCCTGCTGCTGTAACATCTTGTCTAACATCTGGACCAGAAAGAAAAAGATGACTTTCTCTGGTTCCTTTCTTCTTGCGGTATGTCCACTGCCTGGCAGATGCCTTCTCCCATACACAATAATCATTTAAAAATTTCAGATGAGTTTTCCTGGAGCTTTGTTCTTGTCTTAAATGGGTTGACATTCCCGGTGAAATTTGACCAGGAAAAAATAGGGCAAAAATGTGAAGGTTTTCTTACAAAAATCATTAAGCAAATGTGCAGGCAGAGTTGGGGAAAGAACATGAACTGAAGACTTGCTTCAAAGTGAAGGGGAAAAGTCCATTCATTAAAGTTTCTTTACTGTTTATTTCTTGCTCTACACTGAACCTGCCACACTTGTAGCAGTCCTGGAAGGCAATTGCAGGGCAAATTGAAACATTTGCTCCAGAAGGGAGAAAGGAGGCTCCTGAAAGTCTGGAGGTAAACAAGCTTCACCAGTCTGGGAAAGCTGAAGCTTGCAAGACCTATAGCTACTCCCCAGAGCCATAGAAGTGGTAAACTGCTCAAGAGGAGATTCTAAGCAGCCCAGCTGCAGATAGGTCCCTGGGATCTGTTGAGCTGCCTATGAGTCATGCAGAGAGTTCCAAGGATGCAGCCTTCCTGAATCATCTTTTCTGTGATGAAGTTGCTTTAGAATCATCCCTGTTCCTGTGAATATCCCTTCATGCCTGTTAGTTACCCCAATAAAAACTCAGCGGTTATCCAGGTTGGACTCTGGTGCAATCAATACTTTGGCCTACTGTTCATTCCCTTTCTGGGGTAAGTAGATGTGTGTGTGTGTGTGTGTGTGTGTGTGTGTGTGTGTGTGTGTGTGTATAATATAAGTTCCCAGGAAATTGCTCACACACAGCAACAGTCTGCTATCAACTTTTGAGCATTTAAGGGACATGTCAGCGAATTAGTCCTCGGGGAGTAAATGCTGCAGTCCTACAGTTGTGCTAACACACGGTAGACCATCATTCAGAAAACATGACAAGGTGCTGGCATTCAGGCATTTACACCAGCCTGCCCTCTGGGACCTAGCAGGACACAGCAGCCACCGCCACCAAGGTGACACTGACTGCTGCAGCCACCCGGTAGAGTGCTCTCTCTATGTGCATACACTGTATCCCCTTATAAAAAGCAAGTCCTTTTGCCCCCCTCTCTTCCTTCAGCTCTTGCCCAGAGGCTGCCTCTGCACCCGGATCCCCCCCACCCCCACCCCCACCAGTAAACCTCCCATGTGGGCTCTGTTGCATGGTCTGGCTTTGTGGTGCCCCCGTGCCAAGGTTTACCTTCCACTGTTAAACTATTACACAAGGATTTGTACCCTTGGCGGGAGTCTCAACATGTTTCTTAGATATTTTTGCAAAATTGCTGACACCAGAAATTCAATTCATTTGTTATAGATAATTTCTCTAGTCAGACAAATAAACACTATTGACCAACGTGGAAACTACAGTTCTTTGTGTTATGTTGAATCCACTATCCTTCTGAAATTGATGGAGTAGGCTTTTCCCAAAGAGAGACTGCAGGTAAAGCCTTTTCCTAACTTGATGACATTAGGAAATAGGGAGATGCGTATAAAAGATACCAAAAGTCCAAAAAGTGCCTCCTTTAAACAAAACCGCTTAAAATAGTTAAGTAGTAATTTCCTTCATGAGTTATCAGAATATAGGTGATGACCAAAAACTCACGTTTTTCCTGCATGATACAGTTCCAAGGCTTTGTGGAGTTGGTTAAAAGGTAGCTGATGAGTCACTAATGGATCTATATTAATCTTATCTTGGAGATAATCAGTTACTATTTGGGGAATACAGTCTCTGGTTTTATAATCTGCAAAACAAAATGGCTATTAATAATATGACCTGAGACCAACCAGGCTGGTGAGATGGCTCAGCTGATGAAGGCTCCTGCTGTAGAGACCTGACAACCTGAATTAGATCTCTAGGACCCACAAGGTAAGGCACCGGTTCTGGCAAGTCAGCCTCTGAGCTCCTCATGTGTGCCCTGGCACGTGCGCGCGCACACACACACACATGCTGTGGGATGTTCTGTATGGCAAATGTGTTGCTCTGATTGGTTGGTAAATAAAACACTGATTGGCCAGTAGTCAGGCAGGAGGAAGTATAGGCGGGACAAGGAGGAGAATAAAGCTGGGAAGTGGAAGGCTGTGTCAGAGACACTGCCAGCTTCCACCATGACAAGCAGCATGTGAAGATGCTGGTAAGCCATGAGCCACGTGGCAAGGTATAGATTAATAGAAGTGGATTGATTTAAGCTGTAAGAACAGTTAGCAAGAAGCCTGCCATGGCCATACAGTTTGTAACCAATATAAGTCTCTGTGTTTACTTGGTTGGGTCTGAGCGGCTGTGGGACTGGCGAGTGAAAAAGATTTGTCCTGACTGTGGGCCAGGCAGGAAAACTCTAGCTACAAATGGCGCCCAACGAGTTGGCAAGAGTTTCCACCTAAAACCTGAGAAAAGATTCTAAAACGGAGCTAAAAACAGCTTCCTAATTGTTTCTCTCAAATGAGCGGCAGCTGCCGGTTTGAGCTACAGGTGGGTTCCTAGCGTGCGTGCTCGACCTGCCGTATGGCAGGAATGAGGCTTCTGCAAGTCGCACATTAAGCTGCGTGGTGGATTTAGCCTTTGCTAGTACAAAACAAAAAAAAAAAGAGGTTTCTGGGCTACACGCTGCTTTGATAGAAGCATAGACCCACGATAGCTCCCAGAGCTGGCGGTAAACGTACCACCGCCATGTTGGGAAGCTGAGGTGGGCAGAGCCAGCAGCCATAGCCCCGTTTCAGTCTTACAAATGCTGAAGTTTAAAGCAATAGATTCACAATAAGACAGATTCAGATGTAATAGTTTACAATGTGTGTAAAATATACGTAGGCTTGAAAGAGACAAAAAAGGTGATATATACAGTTATATAAACAAATACATAGTTTTAAAAAATAAAGTCTTTAAAGAGACAATAAAATTAATATAAAAAATAAGCCACATAAAGATGAATATTACACAGAGAATCTGGATTGTGTTGTCTTTGGGATTTTTAACTGCAGAAAAACATTTGATTGTAAAAGATGTTGAGTTAAACCAATATGTATATTTTAAAGATACCTTGGCTTCAAAATTTGGATGTAAGGATGTGTTGCTTTGGAAAGGAGACTCTGCTTTTGTTCCCGCAGAAAGCCAGAGGCTATGGATTTGTTCCAGATTAAGATACATCAGGTTTGTCCAGACAAGACCTCCTGAAAGGTCTCCGATGACACCATGGCCCAGATGATCCAACATCCAGAATGGTTTGAAGGCAACTGGCTCAGACAATACAGTCTCATGGACTATTCCATAATCCTAAAATTTTCTTTGTGTCCCCATAAGATATAGCGCCCCCCTCCAGCAGGAAGTAGTAAGAGAAAAAATTCCCAAATTATATGTAATTTTACTTTGTTAAGGTTAAAACCTTCCTTTTTGAAAAAAAAAGGGGGGAAGTGCTGTGGGATGTTCTGTATGGCAAATGTGTTGCTCTGATTGGTTGGTAAATAAAACACTGATTGGCCAGTAGTCAGGCAGGAGGAAGTATAGGCGGGACAAGGAGGAGAATAAAGCTGGGAAGTGGAAAGCTGAGACAGAGACACTGCCAGCTGCTACGATGACAAACAGCATGTGAAGATGCTGGTAAGCCATGAGCCATGTGGCAAGGTATAGATTAATAGAAATGGATTAATTTAAGCTATAAGAACAGTTAGCAAGAAGCCTGCCATGGCCATACAGTTTGTAACCAGTATAAGTCTCTGTGTTTACTTGGTTGGGTCTGAGGGGTTGTGAGACTGGCGGATGAAAAAGATTTGTCCTAACTGTGGGTCAGGCAGGAAAACTCTAGCAACACACACACACACACACACACACACACACACACACACACACACACACGCGCGCGCGCTCACGCATATCCAAACACACAAATAATAATAAAGTAAGTGTAATAAAAATAAGAAGTATTAGTCAATCAAAAGAGTTAAAAAATCAAGCAGGTCATGAGAGATGAGTAAGATACTCTCTGAAAATTTATCATTGAAAATAAAGGAGAAATCATTTGTGTCTGAGAAGCCACTGACAGCTGCTGTTAAATGTGGCTTCTATAGACAGTTCTGTTACCTAGTCATCCTTTAAATAAAATCTGGATCAATATTCATATTACCAAGTTAAAAGATAATCTTTTCACTTTACCAACCCATATTCTGGGATTTTCTCACATGCCTGGGAATCGTCTCTACACACATAGAGGTAGTGTGGAAACTGTATCCATCCATTAGCACAGAGAGAGCATGGGAGCCCTCTTTGCTCATGTGCATGGAGGTGGCATGGGCACTCACCACTAGATGAGTGGATAGAAACAGGAGTATTAATTTTTAAATCAGCTAATCAATATTGCTCAGAAATCAGGGTTTTTCTGGGAAGACAGAAACACATGTTCAAAAGTACCAGTTTAGTGCTTATAATGACCTTTAAGACACTAAAAGGCATTGCTATTAAAGTAGCACAATAAACTGTGAAGCCATCAGTGCAGAACCAAAGTTGATTAAATTGTTCTAATTGCTGTAAAAATATTTTTTTTGTTGGAGGAAAATTATAATCCTCAATGGCTCCATTATTTTATTTAGCTAATTAAAATTAACTTGGTTGTAGTGGGTAGCCATTCCAGTTTTGATCTGGAAGTTCCAACCCCCATTGAGGCTTCGGCAACTGTCACACCTACAAGGCGGGGCCAAGGGAGGCGCCTGGAGACCCGAGATCTGGATCGGCGAGCTCTCTCTGTTCTGGGACCCTGGACAGTGGAGGTGGGCCAAGCAGAGCTCCAACCAGAGAACACCGCTGGACTGCGATACACCTTCCCCAGACCCCGTGACCTACCTATCCCTTAATTTGTAAGTTACGCCATTAAATAAATCTCCTTTTAACTACATGGAGTGGCCTTAATAATTTCACCAATACTTGGTGTTTTGGGAAGATGGCTTGGTGGGTAAAGTACTTTCCATGAGTTCAGGTCCCCAGGACCCAGGGTAAACAGTCAGGTATGGTAGTTAAGTACATGTAATCTTAGCTCTAGGAAAGTGGAGACAGGAGAATCCCTGGAACTCACTGGCCAGCTAGTTTTGTCCAACTGGTGAGCTCCAGGTGTAGGGAGGAACTCTGTGTCAAAAAATGAGCAGTGTAGAGGAAGCACTTGATGTCAAACTCCAGCTTTCATATGCACACTCATATACTCATGCTTGCACAGCCACACACATGCATGTACACACATGAACCTGTACACACACATGAATACATACACATGCCTACATGATGCTACACCCTCCCCCAGATTTAAAAAAAAAAAGTAATTTGAAGAATGTTACTCTCATTTCAAGAGGAGTCTTTGGACACATTTACTCTAGATATCTGGTCCCCTAAGAGGAGGACCTAAGTGATTGTACCTTTCTACTCATCCACCTACCTCCCAAACACACGCCCTTCAGGGTTTTTCCAGACAGAATCTTGGCCGCCTCAAGGGATAGCTGTGCATCTACCGGGGCCAGCCCAACGATCAGACAGACACCATAGCTGTTGTTACAGGAGTTCCAGGCAGCGACCTGAGAAAGACAGCGACAGCCACGGCCACACCCCATGCATTAATACCAGCTACCCCACGGGGGAAGAATCCTGCATGCCCTGAGATGTCACCTTCTCTTGGGTAGATGCAACTTCATATTCAACTTTGACACTGGGGGGGGGGGGGGGGGGGATGGGGGGGGCGGTCATGGACATCTATCTCCTCAGAGAGTCAGTTCAGTGTAGGAGTAAAAAGTGCAGACTCTGCAACCTGTGTGACTCAGGCAAGCACTTTAACTGCCTTGTTGGCTCGGTTTCCTTGTAGGGTTGTTCTAAGTATTGACTGACTGATTTATCATCCCGAAAACCCGCTCCCTGATCACCATGCTGGCAGACAAGAATAAACGGTAAGTTCGATAAAACTCTTCACTGCCGTAAAGGCCGCACACTGTGTTTGTCTAACTTTTCACTGGCTCTGCTTCACTGCTCAGTTGATTTCTCCTAAACAGAACAGGACGTAATAAATACAGATGTAACTGGGGAAGTTTCATTTAAAAAACCGCATTTTCCAGTGATTCACGGGCACACATTTTCTCATCTATTTTGTCTTAACTCTGTTCCCTTTCCTTTCCCCTCAAATTTGACCTTATTTGCCCCTTTTCTGTCACCTACATCCCTACACTAATATCCTTCAGCCTTTGACCAGGGAATTAGACACACATTTCAATGTAATGAGTATATACATCCTCTTCTCTAAACTGTATGACTCAGGAGGATGCCAGCTAGGTCATTATTTCCTGTCGCCATAGAACTTGACACACGGAGGTATAGTTCTGTTAGAGAACACAGATAAAGATATGTGAATCTGATAATTTTCTTATTTAGGTGTAAACAATTAGAGTTGAGGAAAGTAAATTACTGATCTCATGGCTCTTTGCATATCTCAATTTTGTGTACCATAACTTTATATCTCTTCATGCATCTTGCCTTTGTTCATAAAATACGGCTGTAGAGTGAATTTATATTCCATTTTTCATTAGGGGCACACAGGCCAAAAACCATATTTCCAGAAGTCCTTACGATTATGCATTTCAGGCAGCCCCCCCTCGCTGTGCCCAGTAAACACACCATGGTCTCAACCTTTCCGATGACCTCAAAGGCAAAGTCAGCACCGACACCGGTCATTTCCATCACCACCTCCTGGACGGGTTTCTCCAGCTTGTTAGGGTTGAGACAATCAGTGACGCCCAGGGCTCTTGCCCGGGGAAACTTCTGCTCATTGATGTCAACCCCGATGATTCTAGAAGCACCAGAGGCTTTGCAGCCCATGACCACGGCTGAGCCGACCCCTCCGAGTCCAAACACCACACAGGTGGAGCCAGGGGTGACCTGCAGATTCATACAGCGTGCTTTTATTAATTTTCAAAGCTGGGCACAGGCAGTTAAGAAAATAAACCAGCAAGTTAAAAAAGACTAGTGAGCTTTTTGAAACTATGTATACAACACTTTGATCATTTGGAACTAGTTTTGATATCCCTCCCCCCCATGATAGACGGATAGCACACAAATATAAGTGAGGTGCAGTCACACCCCGGAATTAGACCACTGTGGGTAGAAAGAAGTTGTTGGGGGACAAACTGCTGCCTGGGCGGGAGAGTTAAGAACAACGGCTTGGTGGGAAAAATGAGTTTGAGTTTCACCCATCAAGTAAGCGTGGGAGATGGGTGGGGGCCAGGAAACCTGGGAGTTAGCCTGGAGACTTTTGAGCTGATACAGGTTAATCAGGAACTAGATACACTTTGCTGTTGGGGGTGGGGTAGTTGCTTTCCCGATGAACAGAAACCCGCACTAAGAGGTTTCTGAGGGATACCGAGTTTAGGTTTCTGTTTACTGGATAAGAATCCTTCTGTAAGCCGGGCGGTGGTGGCGCACGCCTTTAATCCCAGCACTCAGGAGGCAGAGGCCGGCGGATCTCTGTGAGTTCGAGGCCAGCCTGGACTACCAAGTGAGTCCCAGGAAAAGCGCAAAGCTACACAGAGAAACCCTGTCTCGAAAAACCAAAAAAAAAAAGAAAAAAAGAAAAAAGAATCCTTCTGTTTACCCAATAAGAATCCAGCCTGGGTTAGACCCAGGTCATTGTTTTTTTAGGACATTGCCGTTAGCAATCCCATTTCGGGGTGCTTCGCGACCTAACAACAAATACCTTGCTCACCTTGGCTGAGTTAACAGCAGCCCCATAGCCTGTAGGAACGCCACAGCTTATGAGACAGACTTTATCCATAGGAGCAGCAGCATCAATTTTTACCACTGCAATCTCGGGCACAACAGTGTACTCAGTGAACGTGCTTGTGCGGAAGGAATGATAAATCTTCTGTCCTCGGCAGGAAAATCTACAGGTCCCGTCCAGCATCACCCCGGAACATGGAAGAACACTGCCCCACAGTGATGTAGACAGACACCCACGTACAGGCATAGGAGTTGAAAAGAGATGTGGTCACCATTAGGCACATACAATGTGAGCAATTTGATAAAAGGGCAAGGATCAAATCTACTCACTCTTGCTTGTCACAGAAGTTTCCTTGGGAGTGCAAGCAGGCGTCACATTCTCTACACTGTGGAATAATGAGTGTGAGAACTTTGTCTCCTGTAAGGGACGGGGAAATAAATCAATAAATTTGAAATTATTCATGGAATTAAAAAAAAAACGATAGAATCTTACCGACTATCTTAAAACAGGCCATGGACAGATGATAGAAGCTAGTGTAACACTCCAGTTAGAGCACACGACTTTTTACCTGGTTTCAGATTGTTACTATTTGGATAAAGATGAGGAGACATTGCCTGAATGGTAGAGAGTTGTAGGGCTGCCTTTCTTGACTCAGAAAATAGAGCGATAGAACCAAGAAGGAATCTTAAAGTCATCTAGTGTAATTCTTTTGTTTTCCATTTAAAAAAATGTAATCCCTTGCTGGGCAGTGGTAGCACACACTTTTAATCCCAGCACTTGGGAGGCAGAGGCAGCCTGTGAGTTTGAGGCCAGCCTGGTCTACAGAACTAGTTCTAGGACAGCCAAGGCTACACACAAAGAAATCCTGTCTCGAAAAATAAACAAGCAAATGAAAACAAAAATGTAATCCCTTGCTGGTTATAGCCAGTTTGTGGTAGCCCAGCAATGTCAGAGCTCTCTTGGGAGTCTGAGTGGCCCACTCCCACACCGTCACTCTGCAAGCCTCTGCCACTGGTTTGCTGTTGATGGATTCTAAGCTGTGTCAACCTTAGAGAAAAAAAAGTTCTTTCTCTTTCACTTTCTTTGTGGAACAATTACTGGAAAGAGTTCTGGAGAGGTTCTTAATGATGTTTGGTCTCAGATCAGCTCATGCCCTGGGGTTAGAGCGACAGACTGAGAGGGACTTGGGAGAAGGCTGACTGACCTATGCAGTAGTCACAGACTCGTGTAGACTCTGCCAGGGTCTACAGTGTTGTCTTTGTGTTGGCCCTTACAAATGTTTGTTGTATAGGAAAATTCCTTAAGATGACATTTAAAAGTCTCTTTAAGTTTACATAAAGCACATTTTACCTTTACTGACTCTAAAATTTTCTAGATACTAGATCCAGAGAAGTTCTAACTATTCTTTTCCTTCAAATGCTCATTATCGTCTCCCACAAAATCCCCAATAGAATCTTTCTGGCTAAAGAGGAGCTAGCCTGTAAACTCTCTTATTTATACTACATTCTGGGAAATGCATGGTCAGCTCTTTACTTCTGTGTCTCTTCCTTGATCCACAGTAGGCATCTCACAATTGCTGTACACTTTGTGAATGCACTAATGATGGCCATGAACGGCCTTACTATGTACTTTCCTAAGTCTCTTTACGCATCTGTCCCTAACTATGGGGTTTCTGAATTAACATCATCTACGAGTGATTGCTCATTCACTGTGATCGTTTTAGGCATGCTAAGAATAACCATGTCAAGATCCTTTCAGATGCAACTGGGGAAGATTCATTGAAATGTAACTATCATCCTGCCATGTAACTTTCAAGCAGTACATTCTAGTTGATTAAAACATCCATTCATTTGTCAAACACTCCAACTTTGGAATGGGCATCATTCTAAAACATTCTTGGGATCAAAACATCAGCAGTTCTTAAGCCTAAGGCCCTTTGGACAAGTTCAGAGGTTCTCTGCTCTTATATCAACCTTTATCTGACTGGCTCAGGAACTGGTTCTCCACACCCTGTATTTGTCAGAAAGAAGTGACAGTGATCTTTGGATTACTGTCTTCATTTGATAACATGACAAGTCCTTAACTAGAAGAATCTAGAGGCAAACCCAACTTGTTTTTCTGCCGAATATGCTAACAGTGCAGAGTATCTCCTCTTCAGATCAGGAGTTCCCTGGCATGCTGCTCCCAATAAATTTTGTTTCCCATTTTCTACCTTGTTTCACGGAGCTAACTCCATCGCCAACACTCTCCACAATTCCTGCTCCTTCATGACCCGGAATTAAAGGAAATTTCACTGAGAGTTCCCCTTTCAGCACATGGTCATCAGAACCGCAGATCCCTGAAGATAACATCTGTATAGAAATTAAGTGACCAAAAGACAACTGGTTTATGATTTTTTTCTCCCTCTTTTGAGACTGAGTGTTCAGTTTTGTTTTGTTTGTTATGAATTATCTCACTTGATCTCTAAAAAAACACTCATGTGTTAGAACAAAAACCTACCTGTAAAAGAGAGATCCCATTGAAAAGGCCAGACCCTGCTGCTGGAGGACACCCTGCTGAGCCTCTGTGCGGTTCTTGCTGTTACAGAGGTAAGAGGCAGTCTGTGCTGCGACTTGACAGCTTGGTGCAGAGAACACGGTCCTTCCATGTCTCTGTGGTGTTCACCATGTTGAACCAAATCACGTGCTATAAAACTTCCCAACAACCCCCTCACCCCAAAACTTAAACAAGCCAGATTTTCCCTTTGTTTTTCTGGGGACTGGCGCCGAGCCTTCTCGGGGGCACTTGCTTGGGGAGTAAGTACACTGCCCTATATGAGGCCTCTCAGAGCTCCTTGCCATCCATCCCTCTTAAGGGTTGCTCTTGTCTCTTCCTAGCTCTCTCATTTTCACTTTTGATGAAGTTTCTCTTCAGTCTTTAAAGAGAAGCCTCTCCCCTTTAAGTCTCTGTGGGAGGCCAGCTCCCACTTTTTCTCCAGGGTACTCTTGAGGAGAGCGGGATAAGAAATATTAGGTAGAAAGAGAGTGTGGAGAAGAGACAGACAGAAACACAGGATAGCTTTGGGAGGGCCTGGATCAATATCCATCGGGCACCCTCTGTCTCTTCTAATGTTTTTTTTTTTTTTTTTTTTATAGGAATGCCAAGGGGCAGGGCAAAAGACCTCCCCCTAGCACGGCCAAATGCAGACCCTTCCAATCACCTGGTAACCACACACGTGGTCAAGCCATCCCTTAATGCAGCCCTCCTAGGTAAAGCAAGCTCAGATCTCACCAGGAAACCTCTGTGCGCCTCCACAAGTCTCCATCATGTTTCCATCTCCATACATTGCATTGTTTTCATCCAACACCACTACCCCCAACCCGCCCCACCCCCAACCTTCAGGCCTGATCATGGCCTCGAAGCCCTTTCTCCCAGTAAGCTGCATCTCTAGACTGCCCTCTGCTGTTTTATTACTGCTTCCTTCATTGTATTTGACAAGAAGAACACAGAAGGTCTCCCTACCAATTTAGGTATGGGGAAGGGAGGCCCAGAGACTTAGAACTATTTATCCAATATCACATAGCTTCACATTCAGACCTCATAATAAACTTGTCTTTTTAAATCTAGTCTATATGATCTATGCAACAAAGAATTTTGAAACAAAATGGTTTTTGGAAATTTTAATAATTTTGGATTATTTTTAGAAATATAATAATAACATCACTATCAAGAAACACAAACTTTTAGGTCCAATATTGTGAAGTTCAATGCTTTGGGTAAATCAATTTTCAAAATTTTAAACCTGTACATTGAAATTTTTCTTTAAGGCTGGGCATGGTGGCACATATAGCTGCAACCCAGAATGAACCCTTTCTCTTTCTAAGTTCATTATCTTGGGTATCTAGCCATGGTGACAGAATACCAATACCACAGGCTGTTAGATCCTAGTCAGTATATCCCCAATCTTGAATTCATAGTCTCAGCACTCAGGAGGCTGAGGCAGGAGGGTCATGAGTTTGAGGACAACCTCAGCTACATATTGAGATTCTGTTTCAATCAAACAACTACCTCTAAATATTCACTAATGTATTTGTTAATATTAATGAATCAGTTTAAAATCTTTTTCTTTTACTAAGAAAAGTGAGGAGAGCAAAATGCAGACACATGCTGATTTCATTTGCACATGTCTATGCCTACTTCTATTTTATAAAAGGATTTATTTATTTTTATTTTTATTTTATGTGTATATGTGTTTGGCCTGTGTTGTTGTCTATGCGCCATGTGCATATAGTGCCTATGGAGGCCAGAGAGTGCACTGGATCCCTTGGAACTGGAGTTCCACATGGCTGTGATTCACCATGTGGGTCCTGGGAACAGAACCTGGGTCCTCTGGAAGAGCAGCCAGCACTCCTAACTGCTGAGCCATCTCTCCAGCCCCTATACTTATTTTTGAAGTGCAGTATTATTTTCTTTTGTCCTCAAAAGGAATGGCTGGCTGACTTAGACTTACCCTAATGCGCACTTCTCCAGGTTTGGGTGGTTCAACTTGCACTTCTTCAATTGAAAGACGAGACTTTTCTGCCCAGGCAATGGCTGCCCGACATGTGATTGTCTAATGGGCACAAAATAAAATGGCATTTACCAATAAGCTTTCTTTTTTTTTTAATCACACTTGCTATTATTTGTAAAAGTACAAAAATCATAGGGAAAAAGCCAAAAATAACTATAACCAAGTCACCTGTATTCCAAGCATAAACTACCAAGAATTTAGTAAATTTTCTTGCAATCTTTCAAAATACTTTTTACTTACAAAATCTCAATAGTTTTAAAATAGTTAAGATTATACCATATGAGGAACTTTGCCTTCTTTTTCCTTTCCCTTCTTTTTGTTCTTCCTCTTCCTCTCTTCTTCTTCCTAAACCAGTCACTAGTTATTAAACCATTGCCGCTGGCATGTTTATAAGCGTTTCTCTTGACTTTGAAGAACTTCATAGTCACACTGGAAATGACCATTTTTTTTGGGTATATCCTAATTTTCTTAATAACTACCTGGCTATAGGAGTGTTCCCATTGCTTTTCCTCTTACAAAGGGTATTGTGATGAACACATTTGTTCATAATTTTTTCTTGATTGGTTTGTTTCCTTAAGTGAAACTTTCTTGGGGAGGATAGAGTCATTGTTAGGACTAAGCTGCTTTCTAAATCTCTTTACAGAAAGATTTAATCACTTGGCTCACTCCCCAGAATAATAAATTGTCTTTGCTATCATTTATTCCATTTTACTTAGCATTGACTGTATCATTAAACAAAACATTGCCCAGGTAGGAAAAGCCACTGTCTTCATGGGTATGTTTTCAGTGTAGCAGTGTGAGTATTCGCCATGATTATGGGAGCTGTGGAAGACTTGCTCATGTATTTACGGACCTATTCGCATCTTGTGCCTTTTGCTAAATGCAAATGAGTTCTTTAAACATCAAAAGAGTAACTTGCCATCTGTCAGCTCGTCTTACAAGTTTTTCCTCTTCTATTTTTATATCAATTTTATATGAAATGATTCATGTGTTTTGTGATGTTTGTCTATAAAAGTCTTTCCTTTGTAACTTATTCCATTTCCATAGTCTGAAAATCTTCCATATAGAAATAAATTTCTTATCCTCTCTTTGAATTTTTTTCAGTTTGATATTTAGATACTTCACTCATATTTACTTGAAGATTGTTTCTTTGTATAATGCAAAGCTACAGTCTAAATGAGTTGCCCCAGGGCAGCCTGGTTGCTAGTTGTTTCTGCCTTTTCTACTTACATTAGCACTTTCGCTACACAATCAAATTCTTATTTTCCAGGCTTCTCTTTAGAGGCTGTTTCTATTGCCTTGAGTATCTTTCTGTGAATTCTTGCAACAGCTCCTTCCTCAATGAGTGGACTGGCTTAACTTTCAGATTTAGTACCCGGTGATACTAGTTTGTATAATTTCAAATGTATTCCATTTATAGGTATGATTTCTGCATTGGTAATCGTAAGTAGAGTAAATCTGTTGTGTCTTCAAGAAATTCAGACTCCAGTGGAAGAGATAATACAGGTTTTTATCTTCCAAAGAGAAAGGCCATGGCTCACAAGAGCTTCCAACTACAGGGATAGACAATACTTCTTCTGTCTGTGAACAACATAATTAGAATAATTTTGCTCTCACTCAAAACTTTTGTCAAAAACAGCTTTTAGGGAAAAAAACCTCCTTATTTCAAAAGCAATATACAGATAGCACAAAATACTAAGTGACACAGACTAATGTAAGGGGAAGAAGCAGGGGAGGCCCAGCTCCCGCCACTGCTAATGGTGTAGAGCGAGTTCTTCCGTCGATGTTCTGTGCGTGCACTGTGTGTTCATCTGACCACACCGAGCAGACTGGGTCGCGGCTTGATGTTCCCTATAACATGATAGTAATTTTCCGGTGATCTTTACTGACCACTTAAGGCTCACTGACTAATACATTGTAACTGCACCTTCCTAATACTCCACAGATGTGGTTCCATCCACGTTCTTTACCATGACACTGCTAACCTGCTCATAAAAACACACAGGACTCTTTCACTGGGGTCAGTTTCCAGTTTGAGGTGCCCCTGTAGCACAGCAAAGAGCATGTCAGTCCCATATGCTTTCAGATGAAATGACAGGCAAATTTTAAAGCTTTTGCTACAGTATTAGCAAATTATCCCTCGTAAACTTGTCAGAAATTCATTCTCTAGGCAGTGGTGGGAGACTTTCCACATCTTGGGAAACTTTGAGTACTACCATCAAAGTTTGTTAACAATCCAATCAGAGAACACAAAATCTAAATTTCTTGTAAACACGCACTGCTCGATGGCAGTGAGGGTGACATGGTGCGTCACAAAGCGCCACACTCACCTTTCCTGTGGTGTCCATGGTGGCTTCTCTGGTGTCACCTGTGTCCTTTGGATCTCAGTAAGGTTTGATTGTGCAGCTTGGCAGCCTGGGCCAAGTATTTATAGGGTTCATGAAACCGAAAGCTATTAAAAGTAATCACACTGTCAACATGGAGATTACCAGAAGGGCAACGGGTTGAAAATATGTCAAAGACTGGAAGGAATACACCAGACCAGGGAAGGGTAATGAGGGAAGAGATTGACAACCTACATGCTGACTGGGAAAGAAGAGCTTCAAGAGGAGGCGGGGTGAAAGGCTGAGGGGTGCTGCAGAAAACCAGGGCGTGAAGAACAAGCCAGACAGCACCTGCTAATTAGCCAACAGAGCTTCTGGAGAAAGCCATTATTATAGATGCTATTGCTAAATGGGCAATAAAAACAGGGTTAAGACTGGGTTGCCAGTAGTCAGAGGAATGGAAAAGTCTAAGTACTCACATAAGTTACCATTTTAAAACCTGAGAAAGGCATTGTGAAACTGAGAGATGCTAATAACGCTAAAGACGAAGTAAGGCATTATGGAAGACTCTCACCCAAGTAGGAGTAGGGCTGCAGGGGTAGAACTTACATAAGAGCAAGGGATGGGTGTATAGTGAAAACAGCAGACTGAGTCAGTCAAGGTAAAGTGAAATAAAGAGGCCATGCTGATGATGGCGAGGAGGAAGATGTTGTTCAAAGTCTGTGATTCTGGCCTGACCCGTAGGCTTCTGTTTTAGCTGAATGAGTGAGCACAAGTCGGAAGATCAGAAAGTGATACCCTAACTACTGGCGAGCTCTGGCAGCTGGCTTTATCTGCCTCTAATTCACATCTGTCCAGCAGTTAGGACCTACTGTAGTCATTTCTCTGAGATGGATCTAGGGTCTTTCATCCTCATGGTGCACAGCTGCTGTAAGGTGGTGCGGGTGGGCTGGGGTCATTTGCTGGGAGCCAGGGTGAGATAGAGGTCTGCAGTCACAGGTCTCTAGGTATGGAGCTAGATCAATCTTTATATCCTGGTCATATGTTTATAAGTTTCATTTGAACAGCTTTGCATTTCCTAACAATTCAGAAAGACTCTTAGGTCATCTGGGAACCCGCCTTTTCCTCCTGGACCAGAACTGTGATTGGGGGAAAGAGACCTAGTTTACCTACCATGAAAGCTGACTGAGCGAATGCTCTTAGAAGACATTCTGACAACTGTACTTTAAGCAGGGAAGCATCATCTTTATATACTCAGAGATAGTGCAAGAAGGGAGGTTTGGGAATGAATGACTGACATCTATTGATTAAATGGCCTTGTGCTACAGTGTTTGCATTCTCGTATTTTCTGTATCCATGTTCCTACTCTGCCTCTGTTCAGCAAAGTTTCATGTGCTGGGCAGTAGCCTAGTAAGAAAGCCCGTGAGGCAATGTCCAGATGTGAACTTTCCACCCTATAGACTTTTCTGACAGCACCTGGAACATTAAGAAAATTTTTTTTCAGATCCCTGTAAGTTGTAGTTACAGATAGTTGTGAGCCACCATGTGGGTGCCGGAATAAAAAACCAGGTCCTCTGGGAAAGTAACTGATTCTCTTAACCACTGAGCCCTCTCTCTAGCCCCACCTGGAAAACTTTTAGTCCTTTCTTTTTCTTATTTTTTTCTACCACATTTCCTAAATTTAGACCCCGACTAGGCATGGGGTTCAGAATCCTAAGAGATGGTGCTAAGTGTGGTGATGCTCACAGTGAACTCCTGGCAGCTCCCACCCACCCCACTCATTGTGCTCCCTATTTGACGGATGCCAGGGAGTCATGCCATTTCTGGGACTCAGTTTCTGGGTTAGTCAAGTTGTCAGGTTATAAAAACCCAGCAGTAATAAGTTTATGGAAAGGACAAAATGTTTGGCTCACAGAAACCTTGGAAAGGAGTGAACATTTGAAGAAAAGGTCACAAGTGCATCTGGGAACTCAACCTGAAATCTGTTCGCCTTCAACACGACTTCCCCTCTCTGATGTGAGGCAGTGAGGTAGACAAGCATTCAATGCCATCACTAACAGACCTGGGTCCAATAGAACCTTCGCCTCCTACATACTGAGACCTAAGAACTACAACCTCCAGATGCCTCCGGTTCCCTGTCAATAAAGGGAATTAGCTTCCCAGGTTTCCTCACAAGCACCAAGCAATCATAATACACAGATGCTAAGAACACTGCATTGTACATAGCAGGTCTCCATGTAAGTGTTCATTATTGTTATTATTATTATGTCTCTCAGAACATCTGCCTCATTTTTCCTCAGTTATGACTTGCTTTTGCCCTGTGGTAGGAAATACGGCCCAGAAGAAAACACCTGATTGTTAAATTAAATAGCTTCAACCAGAGAGTTCTGATCTCTCTCCTCTTAAGCTCACAAATGCAAGGGAAGCCTCAAAGAATAGTCCTTATCAATTTTAACCATTCATATAAAGATAACTTCATGATTAGATACTCTTAAAAAAAAACATATGTTTGTTAAACCAAATTCTCATTTGGTTTGGAATAAAACCTCAGTAAAATTATTTTCGCAGGTTTGTGTGCCGCATATTTTGAACCGTTTCTGTCATGAGTCTTTGTCTTTCCTAACTTAAACAGAAACAGCGAGCGGTTCTGTAACTCTTTATGTGTTATCTACACTCTAGATAATCTAGTTCTGCTGGAGTTTGCGCGGGATTTCTGCCCTCTCGGCATTCCTGGAGGTTGCACAGCAGATAGATAACCCGGTCTGAAGCACGCACTCTGGAGTCCTTAAACCACAACAGCACACATCTGTCAGTATCGCGTCTCCTCGCAAAGCATGCTGGTTAGTAGTTGAAACCTTGGCGTTGTTTACAGCAGCCGGCTTCGGGTCACATCTTGATGACATTAGATTAAATATTTCCCAGAATAAAAATCTTCATCTCCTTCTTCCTGGACTTCACATTCCTCCTTCAGGTCCTCAGGTCAGAGTTGTTTTCTTCTGTTTGCTCCAAAGGCCATCTTTGAATCCGCACCACGCCTGTCAAAGGTAGCTGGACAGATCACCCTCAGGCGGATGGGTTTTGCTCTGGCATTTTCCTCCCCTCCACAGCTGAGAAGCTGACAACCAACATAGCAAAGGTCACATCTGGCATCTTGCTGCATGCAATGCCAACCACGGACTGAACACTCCTGTGCCTGGCACCAAGCTGGGTCCAGAGGTGGTAGCAGTGGGAACAAAACAGCTTCCGGCCCTTCCAGGAGGCAGTCATGCACCCTGGGTGAGGCCTAGTCTTGGGGCCAGACAAACTGGGTTTCTAACTAACTGTGGGAACAATGGTTTCTTATTTATCTGCTCTTCGCTTTAGTTTCTTTGCCCGTACGATGGGGGATGGATAAAAGGACCACTGAAAAAAACTGTCTGTCCTGCAAGAGTTTGAATCTCGTTGTCACAGAAACACAGCTTCCATCTCAAAGGGAAGGTAAGAGTTTATTCTAGAGCCAAATATGGGTGACCCAGAGTGAGTGACATGGAGTTAGGTTACCCGGGTTGCAGGTTCCTACATGGAAGGAGTTCTGAGAGGTTTTACAGTATCAGAACAAAGAAAGTCACAAGTCAAGGACACTGAAAATACATCGGTGGGCTGCAGACAGGCCTCAGTTGTCACTTGACAGCATTCTTAGCCTTCCATGGGTGAGGAATAGGACTTTCTTAGCACATTCCAGAGCTTTTTTATCTGTTTATGATGTTAGGTCTGACACACAATGGTCAAGGAATAGCTATTTGGTTGGCTAAAGGTCCTCATGACACACTGTAAATTAGGCTTTGAAACGGCAATGTTGTGCTTCTGTCGCGAGACCCTCAAGCACGACCATCACAGAGCTGATATCCAATGCAAAACACACAGGGCCTTATTGATAACAAGCGAGCCCAGGCTTGATCTGTGTTCAATACTCCGACACAGTGGGTGGAGGAGGATGGCCCTGAGCTTTCAGGGTGAGGGGTTTTTAAAGGGAAAAACCCGCAAGCAGGGTGGTACTAGCCTTTGCATCATATGACTGAGTGAGGGTATGTAACCTTTGAATTTACTGGTTGGGGGTTACAGTTAACATTTTCAGGCAGGCCTGGACAAGTCCTAGGCTTTGTCCTTGAGCTGCCATGGAGACTGACTGGCCTTGCACGTACTGACTGTGGGGGCTGACTCAGTGGCCCAGGTTCTGTCCTTGAGCTGCCATGGAGGCTGGCTGGCCTCACATGTTCACATTGACCCATGCACGTAGCTCTAAGTTGGTGAGGGGTCCCAGACAGTAAACAACTGGCTGAACCTTGAGCAGTCAGAGTATGTGCAGAAAGGGAGCTACTGCAAGGACTGTGTCTTTTGTTCACGTCCCTCCCAGAAACTGCTTGCTCAAGTCTTAGGAAACTGAAATTGAGGCCTGATCACTGAGAGAAGACTGACAGCCTGTTATGGCATCTGCTTGGTCCTTTCAGCAACACTTCAACCCTGCCACATTCTTGGATGTGTGAGTCAGCCTGTCACACACAGCCTTGGCACACAGCCTGACACACACAGCCTTGGCACACACAGCTTCTTTCCAGGATTGTTCTTTCACCATCTGGAATGGTCTGAAGGACCAGGTGGTGCTTTCTTAGTCTGCTTTGGCATTACCGGAAGGTGGTAGAAACAGTAACAGGTCTAGTGGGACAGTTTTAGGCTGCTGGCACTGTGTGTTTCCCGTTGTGGGGTATTGTGGGACCCCAGGCTTAGCCTTACCTTTCATTCTGAGTGCTGAATGGCTTGAACCTTACTGTGTTGCCCAACCAATGGAGCCTATCAGTTTTGGGTAAAACATCCAAAGTCATGGGCTGAAATCAATCTTTGCTCTTTATCAGCTGTCTTTTCCGGTGAGGGGACATTAACCGGTGAATGAGTATAATCCACAGAATATGGCACCATCCTGGAGAACTCTCAATACATTTTAGCTACAGTCACTATCTTTAAAATGAAACCGGGGCCAGAGGGATAAC